GTGGGAGCCCACCTCCCAAAGTGCTTGGGATCAGTTGTGTGGCTCAGATGAGGAAACTGAGGCTCTTAAAGGGAAAGCATCTGCTGTTACTAGTCTGTCCTGAAGGCAGTCTCTCCAGGCCTGACTGACCTGGGCACTCTGCTTTGAGTAACTGCTGATCTCTAGTCTCCATGGTCTCCGACAAGATGCCTGTCCCTGAGTCGAGAGGAGACAAGGGAGGATTTCCTTGCCTGGTCATGCAAGCTTTCGTTTTGCAAATTCAGTCTTGTGGCATTCTGCCTCTGTGCTTAGAGCTGGCCCCTGCCACTAGGCTACAGGAGGCATGTTTCCTTCTGCCTAAAAATCAAAACAGAAACCAATCCAAGGTTGGGGGTGGTCAAGGCAAGACAGGCTTGACCCTTCCATGTGACTATCTTTACGTAGTTGTATGTAAATGGTTAATGGCTGTCCCACCCCTAACAAAAACCTTCACTTTATCCATGACCTGCCGGAGAGGCCCAGCTATATGTTTGGAAACAGGATTTGAAAATTGATCTTTGTGATTTCATTTTTTTTTTTAAGATTTTATTTTTATTCTTGATAGAAAGAAAGAGAGAGAGAGAGAGAGAGAGAGAGAGAGAGAGAGAGAGGCAGAAGCAGGCTCCATGCAGGGAGCCCAACGCGGGACCCGATCCTGGGACTCCAGGATCACGCCCTGGGCCAAAGGCAGATGCCAAACCTCTGAGCCACCCAGGGATCCCCAATCTTTGTGATTTCAAATCTGTTAGTCTCCCGTTCTAATACCCCATCATATGTGAGGTGGTAGGGTGCTGTGGCTACAGCTGACTGGGTGCTGCAGGCTCAGGACGTGGCCTCTGGCTTAGAGCATGTCTTCATGCACTGATCTGAACTCTGGCTTCTGGAGCCTCACCCCTTCATGGTGCCCCATCCCTGCAAGACCCCCTTTGAGCTAGGGAAATCGTTGCTTGGATTCCTTCCCTTGGGCTGAGGCAACCTCTCCTGGGTTCAGGTGCACCTCCAGCAAAGCCCTGGCATGTGGCTGCAATTATCCCCCTGCTGCTGGCTTGTCTAGGCTTCATGTTGATGCACTAGATGCACAGGGGTCACACTTCTTCAGACATCACTGGGATCATTGATTCCTGCAAGGCCCTTACTGCAACCCTGTGAGGCAAGAGGAATTCCAAGTTTGCTGTTGGGGAAGTGGAGGCCAAACGAGTGAAGGCTTGTTTAGGTCTGCACAGCTAGGATTGAAGACCTGCATGGTTCTCCTCTGCTAGGTGTGAGCAGCCTTCAGAAAGGGGACAGTTAGAGCAGGCTTCCTGAAGGACCAAGAGGAGGCAGGTTGTCACCAGGACCCTCAGGCTTCTGCCCAGAACACCAGGCAGCCTGGCCATCAGAAGGTCCTCAGCTCTCAGAGCTGGCCTGGGATGCCATTCCTGGCCCAGCATGAGTCATCCCTCATTACCCCAAAGCCTCTTGAGGAGGACTGGTCTCTGTATCTTCATGAGATTGTGTGGGTGATTAAGTCTTGTGTCTACCATGGCCATGCTTTGGTATGGTAATACTCATGCTATTCCTGAAGCATGGGCCTCAGGGACCCAGTCCTTGGAGGAATGAACACACCATGCCTCTGGATGGGCTGAGCTGGCCAGATGGTGCTGATGGAATCCTAGGCCCTCTCAGATTGGGGTGAGCTTGAAGATGGCCCTTTGACATTGGTCAAGCCCTACACTCTTTTCTGCTACACAGGAGGCTAGCTTGGCTCCCTGTTTGTGGGAATCTGCCCTTGTCCCTCAAAGAGTTCCCCTGTCTCACTTCCCTGTCTCCAGCCTAGCAAGAACTTCTCAGTACCCTGGCTTTTCTTTTCCCTAGTGTTCCTTGAACATTGTTTTCCCATGATTCTGAGTGGGGAACGAGTGCTGGGTCACAGGTCTCTGGGAACAGGGTGCTACTCTCCTGTTCTTCTAAGCAGTTCTCTCCTCCTGAAGCTCCCAGGTCCTGGGAGGGTCTCTGTCTCACTGCGGTTCTGATTGAGATAGCTAGGGTAGCTTGGCTTCCCACCCCCCGCCCCCAACCTATTCCCAACTAGGGCAGAGGCCATGCCTGTCCCAGGGAGTGTCCTCCCCTGATGGCAGTCCCTGGGGGACCAGCCCTGGCTCTCTCAGGAAAGGGGACCCTTCTGTGTTTGTCTGGGAGGCAATAGGATGGAAAGTGGGGTTGGGAGGTGGCACAGGAAATGGCTTTTAAGAGCGTAGTAGAGCATCTAACCCTGATGTCACATCCTTTCAGCTTGCCATTGGCTTGATGTGCTTCGACGGCATTAGGACCAGGCTGGCACTTCATTATGGGGGTCGGGGTTACAAGGGACCAGGTATGGCCAAGCAGGACCTTGGGAAGCTTGGACTCCTGGCCTAGACCTGCTCTGCACCTGTTTGGTTCCTGTCTTGAGCAGGAGCCTGATCTGCCTCCAGCCTGGTCTCATAGGAATGTGCCCAGGAGCACAGGGCAGGCCAGAGGTTCTCCTGGGACCTGCTGGCAGTGAGTGTGTGTGTGTGTGTGTGTGTGTGTGTGTGTGTGCAAGTGTGCATGCATGCCTGTGCAGCTACATGTGTCCTAACCTCAGGCTTTGAACTGACCCTCTAGCTACCTGCCAAGCAGTAGCCATGTCATGGGTTACTTCTAATGATGGGCAGGGAACTGAGAGGAGGGGCCCAGGCTGTGGAGCACTCAGACCCCCGGCCTAGATGCATTTGCGTTTGTGAGGTTGTGTGCCTGTGTGAGAGGTGTGGGAGGGGATGACAGCAGCTCTGCACCGGAAAAGCATACTGGTTTCTGTTTCAAAGGGCAGGGTTTGTGGTTATTCTGCAGTTTCTGATCTGGGCATTTCCCCTGTTCGGCTCCTCCTTCCATCCTTGGAAACTGTCTTCTTGGGCTGCGTTTTTGTGATTCAGTTCCCCCCACTCTCCCTGTTTCTACCTGAGTGTAACTTATTTTTAAAACTTGACTCCCATTTTGTGGCCCCTCTTCTCACCTGTGTGCCTACTTTGTTCATTTGCTTATTCAGTCCTTCAGCCAGTAATGCACGGGCCCTGCCTGGCCTGGGAGAGATGAGGAATGTTCACACATGTGGTGTCATGAGGAGTCAAGGGCATGATTACTGCAGGAGGGTGCTTCTGAGTTGGGTCTTCGGTGGTAGAGAATGGAGCCTGAGAGGTAGACAGTCCACCCTTGGGACCAGGATGAACTGGGGGACACAAAGCACTGGCTGTTCTTGCCCTTGGTCCAACTTAGTTTAGATGAAGGAGAGAAGATGAGAGGGAAGAACTGGGAATGAAAATCACTGATCCTCACCAGGAAGGCTTTGAAGGCCTTAGAAGGAACGTATTCTCCTTAGTAAGCAATCACAAGAGGGTCAGAACAGTGTGACAAAGATTCAGAAAACTTAAGAAGGGTGGCTCATTGGTGAAGAGGACTGGGCAGGGGCAGGGCTGCTGGCAGGGAAGGTAGGGCTTTTAGTGGGAAGACCAGGCCTGAGGGGTTGATGAAGGCAAGGGAGCAAGGAGAGCAAGGTCCAGTGAGAACCAGTAATGTTGTGGTGAGGAGCTGGGGTTGGAGCTAGACACAGTGCCTTTGAGGTGGGCTAGTTGGAGCACAGCTGTGGCTAGAAGGAGTAGGAAGAGAGCTTGGAGATTTGGGCCCTTTGGGACATTCTAGCCAGGGTCATACACAGTTTGGGCTGGGAGGGCTCTGCACTAGCCAGGCAATGTGCTGGCACTGCTCCTGGCTCCAGATCTTCCGGGCCAGTCTGGTTTGAGAGCATTAGAAGGGGCTCTGGTGCCAAGGGAGTACTCAGGAAGAGTCCTCTCTGGTGGCTCAGCCAGGTTTCTTCTGTTTGAACAGCTTCTCCCTAAATCTGTCTTGTCTCTCTATCTGGCTTGGAAAATCTTCCCCCTGTCCAGGATCTCAGCCAGCACTGGGGGATCCTGTGGGTGATACCTAGCAAGGAGGGAGGAAGCAGGAAACCTGCACTGAGCTCCTATGTGCCACATACCGGGCTAGACACTTTGTTGATCTTACCAGCACCCTCACCGTTATTTGTTACCTGTGTTAACAGATGAAGGTGCGGGATCAGAGCAGTTATCACTGTGTTATCACACAGCTAATGGTAGGTAGACCTGGGATTCTAGTCCAGGCAGTCTGGTCCCAGAGTCCATGCATATTTTTTCTACCACCCTGCCTTCTAGAAAATTTCAGTTGACTTTATGTATGGTAAAACTGAGACTAGGAGAAGTTAAGCAAGTCACTTAGCATCATTTCCCTTGTTAGTGGACATGGCAGGTTGTCTGCCATTAAGCCCTCTGTGCTTTCCCATTCTGTGCTGTGTGAGGGCAGAGGAGCACATGCAGGCCCTTTGACAGCCAGGATCAGGAAACTTACCTTTGGATGGCCACTGCCTTGGGGGACCAGGCCTCTTGCTGAGACTTGCTCAATAATTTTTGGGGTGGTGGGCCATTTCAGGGGGGTATCAGTTCTCTGGGCCTGATCCCTCATTCCTCCCATGGATCCTGAGACATCCTTGGATCTGCCTTGCCCTACCTTTGGACTTTACAATTTGGTTTGTGTACTTTGTGTCAGGAAGTAGTCCTCACAGAACAGCTTTATGCCCTCCCCAGTTCTCTTTCTCGAGTCTAGACTTTATTCAGGTCAGAGAGATCTGCCTCCATTCTCAGCAAGGGAAGGTACACAGGATGGGGGTCCCTGCTCTCCCCAGACAGCTCAACTTCTAGCAGAGGTCTGTCCTCAGACTCAGCCTAGCTAGCTCTCTTTTATCACCAATGGGATGGTGAGTACTCTTGGCTCTGCTCCTTGATGAGGTGTCTCCCTTTGTGGTCCTTCCCTAAGGGAGAGCCTGGGAATGAGTGAGGAAACCAGGCTGCCCTCATTTCAGCACTGACTCAGAGACCCCAGCCTGACCTTGGCTTCTTCTCTACCTTCCTAAGTTGACATTCGAGAAATCAAGGAGATCCGCCCAGGGAAGACCTCACGGGATTTTGATCGCTACCAAGAGGACCCTGCTTTCCGACCAGACCAGTCACACTGCTTCGTCATCCTGTATGGGATGGAATTCCGCCTGAAGACTCTGAGCCTGCAAGGTAGGAGTCAAGGTGCTGGAGGAGGCTTTACTGGCTCTACTGGCTCCTGGCTCAGCAGGAAGCGTGTGTCCTCAGCTCTGTTCTTTACCCCTTGATCACAGCTACATCTGAGGATGAAGTGAACATGTGGATCAAGGGTTTAACTTGGCTGATGGAGGATACATTGCAGGCAGCCACACCTCTGCAGATTGAGAGGTAAGAACTGCTGCTGACATGGTTAGGGTTAGGGGCATTAGGTTCTAGGAAGCAGAGGCAAGGACACGGGTCTTTGTGCCCAGGCACTGCCTACTGACCTCCCCAGACCTAGTCCAGCTGGAGAATCAGTTCTCACCTCAGGCTCCTCTCCCACCAGGTGGCTGCGGAAGCAGTTCTACTCAGTGGATCGGAATCGTGAGGATCGGTAGGTTTGGGGCTGTGGCTCTAACCCAGCTGGTGGGTTGGGGCAGCCAGAACAGTAGCTGTGCCCTGCGCAGCTGCCTGGAGAACCAGAGGACCTAGGGGGCCTACCTCTAGTAGGGTTGGTGGGGGTCGGCAAGTGATTCTGGCACAGATAACTTCCTGCAGAAAGGCCCCTGTGATGGCCTTAGCACACATTAGTGAGGTAGGCCAAAGAGAGAGACCGGAAATGCAGAGTGGCTCTGGGTGTCCTGCAGAGAGGGTTAGCCTGGCTTTAGTGTGGGAGAGAGTGCCTGGAAGCTCACAGCTTTGAGGCTACTGTGTGACAGCCAGAGGGCCAAGAAGAGATAGGGGACAAAGATCAGTTCATGGTGAGGGCTTCTGACTGTTGCCGTGAAAGAGCTGGAAAACCACGGAGGGTTTTGAAATGAAGTGTCCCGTGACCGGACTTTGGTTGCACAGGACTGCCAACTGTTGCTGGGGAGTCCAGGGCTTGGCAGAGCTGGTGAGCTCGGGCAGGCAGCTGCTTCAGCATTTTGGGTGGAAGATGAGAGGGTTTGGGTCAGGGTGGATGGTGATAGCCAGTGGTCAGATTTGGTCTGTACCATATTTTGAAGGTAAGAGTCCAATAGAATTTCTTAACATTGATTTTGGTGTGCAAGAGAAAGAGAGCAGTCCCAGGGTAACAGTAAACTTTTTGGCTGGAGCATCTGGAAAGGTGGAGCTCCATTGACTAAGATGGGCAAGGCCATGGGAATAGCACATCTGGGGGAGTTTAGGGGTGGGATACATTTGAGCCGTGTTAGGTTTTATGATGCCCTTAGACATCCAGGTAGACACGTTGCCTTGGCTGGTGGGTAGTGTGTGTTTAAGGGAGAAGTTGGGGCAGGAGATGTTCCCTTGAGAGCATAGAGATGATCCTTATATATAGGCCATGAGGTTGGGGATCACCCCATACTGGTAGCAAGAAAAAAAAAGAGGGACAGTAGCTGATCCCAGGACACTTGGACATTGGGGATCAGGGAGGTAAAAAGGAGCTAGCCAAAGGAAGTAGCAGCTTGTGAGGTAAGAGAAAAGCCTGGAAGGTGGAGTTTAGAAGTTCCAGGAGGGAGGGAGTGGTCAGCTGTGCCAGGCATTGTCAAGTGTGTTGAAGACAGGTACCCCTTGGACTTGACAGCGCAGAGGTTGTTGGTAACCTTGAGGAGAGGGGAAGGCAGTTCAGGGAAGGAAAGGGAACATGGATGGCTCCCTCAAGGTGCTGCTGTGAAAGAGAGCAGAGAAGGGAGTGGTAGTTGGAGAGATTGTCAGCAGAGTCAAGACAGGTGTTTTGGTGGAACAGATAATAGCTTGCTTGAAATGCTGATGGCATAGAGTCCACAAAGGAAGCATTTGGTGATGCAGCAAGTTTCCTAACCTGCAAAGGAAGGACCTGACAGCCTCCCTCCTGGGTGCCTGCACAGAGCAAGCACTTGCTGAACCACAGTTGCCAGTAGCAGCCAGGAGCATACAGTGTAGTACTGAGTTCTGGAGGGGAGTTTTGATACTGCCTGCCAGGCTCTTGGGCACGACAGTGGGGGGCACCCTCTAGGAGAGAAGGCCTCCCTTTCCCCCATCTGTTCATCCTTTTGCCAGGCCCAGCAGTATCCCGTGGTCCCACATCCTGGGCAGGGCACTCTGGAGGGCAGGGATACTTCCTTATCAGACTCCAGGAGAGTGTCTAGTCACCAGCAGGAAATACCCCTCTGCTACCCCCATGCCCCCAATGCCAGGTGCTGAGGGACAAATTCCCAGCATTTTCAGGGTCGCTAGTCAGGAATGTATGAGTGAGCTGTGCGGGGCCTGGAGGCTCAGCAGGGGAGGCTGTCTCCTGTGTCCTGGGTGAGCCATCAGCCCCTAGGATTGTTGCAGGGACTAGAGGGTATAGGCTTGAGTGCTGAGACCTAAAGATTGGCTCCCCTGACCCACCCCTCTGAGCCTGTTCACTCCTTTCTTGCCAGAATCATGACCTTTTTCTTTGCTCAGATGAGGAGACTGAGCCCCAGAGAAAGGAGGGGGGACTTCCCTTGATCGCCCAAAGGGTTCTGGTTTAGCCTCAGCCTCAGGACTCCAGGTGCCAGGGGAGTATTTACCTGTCCAGCCCCAGGTGGGCTCAGCCCACAAGTCAGAGGTCCTGAGATGTTGGGCCAGGACCCTGGGGATGTCCCTGTTTCCTCAGTATATCAGCCAAGGACTTGAAGAACATGCTGTCCCAGGTCAACTACCGGGTTCCCAACATGCGCTTCCTCCGAGAGCGTCTGACGGTGAGGACCCCTGTACTATCTGCAGGCAGTGGGGGCGGCCTGGGAGCTCCTGGCTGTGGGCCTGACCGGAGTCCTGCCCTATCCATGTAGGACCTGGAGCAGCGCAGCAGTGACATCACCTACGGGCAGTTTGCTCAACTGTACCGCAGCCTCATGTACAGCGCCCAGAAGACGGTGCATGAGCCACCTGCCCTCCCTTGGCCCTTGCCCCCAACCTCCTGCCCTAGCCCCTGCCCCACCCACATCAGCCCCGCTGCCCTGCTTGAGGGCGTTTGGGTGCCATCTCTCCAGCTGTTCTCCTCTGGAGGCCTCCCCCTGTCTGTTGCCCTGGCCTTTCTTCTTGAAAGCCCTTTCCCCATGTGGCCTCCCAGGGGCTCTGGCTCTGACCAGCTTCTGTCTCCTGCAGATGGACCTCCCCTTCTTGGAAGCCAGTGCCCTGAGGTTTGCTTTGAAGCGGGGCGGCAGGGTTCTCCCCCGGGCCTCCTCCATCTCTCCCTTGGTGATGCCTGGTCCAGGTGGGAGGCATTGGGAGGGGATGAGTCATGCTGGACCCTTTGGGACAACTCTGCTGGGTGGGAGCTGGACTCTGCCTTCCATGGGGCCCCTCGTCATCTGTGGGCTGTGCTAACCACCTGGCTGCCAGGTACTTCCCTTCTTTTCCACAGGGCAGGGGAGCGCCCGGAGCTCTGTCGTGTGTCCCTTCCTGAGTTCCAGCAGTTCCTCCTCGAGTACCAGGGGGTATGGTTGGTCAGACAGGGCCATGGTACCTGGATAAGGGGGGCTGGGCTCATCACTGACAGCCTTTCACGTACCCCTCCCCAACCCATCCCCACCAGGAGCTGTGGGCTGTTGACCGGCTTCAGGTGCAGGAGTTCATGCTCAGCTTCCTTCGAGATCCTTTGCGAGAAATTGAAGAGCCTTACTTCTTCCTGGACGAGGTGAACCCTACTTTCACCTTTCCCTCAGAGTAGGGGGGCACTCACCAGAACCCCACCTGGGTCTCAGGAGCCAGATTCTCCTTAGGGCTTCCACCTTGTTCCTCCCTACTGTCCACTTTGCCCACCATGATAGACACTGATGAGCATCATCTCCTTCCCACCGTGGCCATGCCAGTGGGCTGGTAAGGGGCTTGTTCACTCTGTCTTTCCTTTCTTTCCTCTTCCTGGACAGTTTGTCACCTTCTTGTTCTCCAAAGAGAACAGCGTGTGGAATTCACAGCTGGATGCGGTGTGCCCAGACACCATGAACAACCCTCTGTCCCACTACTGGATCTCCTCCTCCCATAACACGTGAGTGGCTCACTCGGCCTCACCCGGCCCACCCCTGGGAGGGAGGCACTCACCCAACCACCCTTACCTCTCCTTCCCTGTCCAGGTACCTGACTGGGGACCAGTTCTCCAGCGAGTCCTCCCTGGAAGCCTATGCTCGCTGCCTGCGGATGGGCTGTCGCTGCATTGAGTGTGCGTGGTGGCCGGGGCTGGGGGAGTAGGTAGGTTGGGAGGCCTGCCCTCTTGACTGTGGTCATGTTCATCCCCAGTGGACTGCTGGGATGGCCCAGATGGGATGCCAGTCATTTACCATGGGCACACCCTTACCACCAAGATCAAGTTCTCAGATGTTCTACATACCATCAAGGAGCATGCCTTCGTGGCTTCAGAGTGAGTTGAGGGGAGGGGCAGGGGGCAGTTTGGCTCCAGCTCTCGCCTGGGAGAGAGGGTCCCCTCCAATGCCCTGTCCCCACTCCCCTTTTTATCTTTGTCCTTCTTGGCTTCCCTTCCTTTCTTGCTGCTTTCTGGAGCCCTTCTTTCTAAGCCCCACCCTGTTTCCTACATCCTCAGCCTGCCCCCTTTTTGGGTTCTTCTCTAGTCTGTGGAGCAAACTGAAGTCCTACCCTCCTCAGAAAATACTTCCATCCAGCGGCCAGGGCCAGCATCCTCTCTGGGCAGCTTCCCTAGCAACAGGGCCTCCAGGATCTTGATTCCTAACACCTTTCCTGAGGGGCCATTTGGACTGAGCATTGACACCCCTTGAAATTGTAAGGTGTTTGTCACTGCACTGGTCCACTGCCCTGCAGGTATCCGGTCATCCTGTCCATCGAAGACCACTGCAGCATCGCCCAGCAGAGAAACATGGCGCAGTACTTCAAGAAGGTGCTTGGGGACACACTCCTCACCAAGCCTGTGGACATCGCCGCCGACGGGCTCCCTTCACCCAACCAGCTCAAGAGGAAGATCCTCATCAAGGTAACAGTGCGAGGCCCAGCACTTGCCAGCACCTCGCCCAGGCCATGGCTCTAACTGGCAGGCTCAGCCTTGGTGAGGAGGTGGGGAGACTCTGGGACTGGGCTGGCACTGTCATGTCCTGGCCTGCCCCCATAGCACAAGAAGCTGGCAGAGGGCAGTGCCTACGAAGAGGTGCCTACGTCAGTGATGTACTCCGAGAACGATATCAGCAACTCCATCAAGAATGGCATCCTCTACCTGGAGGACCCAGTGAACCATGTGAGGGCCAGGCCTGGCTGAGGCTGGAGGGGCACGGTGGGAGGAGGCCTCCATTCACGGGCCCCACTTCGGTCTCTCCCAGGAGTGGTACCCCCACTACTTCGTTCTGACCAGCAGCAAGATCTACTACTCTGAGGAGACCAGCAGTGACCAGGGCAATGAGGATGAGGAGGAACCCAAGGAGGTGAGGGGCCAGCCCAGGGCTGGGGGCTGGGCTGGGGTCAGAGTCACTGAGTGTCTTTGCTGTTGCCCTCCCCTCACAGGCCAGTGGCAGCACAGAGCTGCACTCCAGTGAGAAGTGGTTCCACGGGAAGCTTGGGGCAGGACGGGATGGACGGCACATTGCCGAGCGCCTGCTCACCGAGTATTGCATTGAGACCGGGGCCCCTGATGGCTCCTTCCTCGTGCGGGAGAGCGAGACCTTCGTGGGCGACTATACCCTCTCTTTCTGGTAACCCACTTACCACAGTCTGTAGTTGGTTCCTGTTGCAGGCTGTCACATGGAACGTGATCTACTCACATGCATGCACACGCACATACAGTTTTCTGGGTGATCTGAAGCCCTCCCGCAGGGCTGCCTGGCACCCAAGCCCCTTGGGCATCTCCCTGGGGCTGGAGCGCCATGTTCCAGGCCAAGCCTGCTTCTCACTGCCTCCCCATCTTCCCACAGGAGGAACGGGAAAGTCCAGCACTGTCGGATTCATTCCCGGCAGGATGCTGGGGCCCCCAAGTTCTTCTTGACAGACAACCTGGTCTTTGATTCGCTCTATGACCTCATCACGCACTACCAGCAAGTGCCCCTGCGCTGCAACGAATTTGAGATGCGCCTTTCAGAGCCGGTCCCGCAGACCAATGCCCACGAGAGCAAAGAGTGAGGGAGGGGCTGGGGGCTGGGTGGGGACCTGAGCAGTGATGGCCAGGGCTTGACTCGGGCCTGTCCTCAGGTGGTACCACGCCAGCCTGACCAGAGCTCAGGCCGAGCACATGCTGATGCGTGTTCCCCGGGATGGGGCCTTCCTGGTGAGGAAACGGAATGAGCCCAACTCCTATGCCATCTCTTTCCGGTGAGGGGTGTGGCCTTGGGGTGCTCTGGGTGGTGTGGGGCTACGCCTTGGTCTGGGATGCCCTGACCCTGTGTGACTGTTCTGTTAAGGGCCGAGGGCAAGATCAAACATTGCCGCGTCCAGCAGGAGGGCCAGACTGTGATGCTGGGCAACTCTGAGTTTGACAGCCTCGTGGACCTCATCAGCTACTATGAGAAGCACCCGCTATACCGCAAAATGAAGCTGCGCTATCCCATCAATGAGGAAGCGCTGGAGAAGATAGGCACAGCTGTGAGAGCCCAGTGGTTGAGGGGGCGTGGCAGGCAGTGCAGCCCTGGGCTAGTTGCTGGGGGTAGTCATGGGACAGTCTGGCTGTGTGGGACACAGAAGCCAGGGAGTTGGAGGAGCTCCAGGGTGGGTCACTCTGCCGGGCTGGGGGCCATGGTGTAGGGCCAGGACAGTGTCCTAGAGGGAATGTCATCTAAGAGGACATGTCTCTAAGAATGGGCATGCATTAGGTGAAGAGTTTAGAGGTGGGCATCTAAGCCCCCGCAAGCTGGGTGTGTGGTGAAGTCCTGGAGCTCACACAGGGAACGGTAGTCCCAAGGCCAGAGGCTTACCCAGCTGGGTGTAAACTCAACTGTCACTAGCGCAGGGGAGAGCTGGCTACAAGAAGTGTGGCTGTAGAGGGGAGAGGCACTGGGTTAAGACAAGTGAGATGGAAGGCTGCACAGATGATCTTGGGGGCGGGGAGGGCTCAGGGCTGGAACCAAAGGACAGAAGGAAGGCGTGTAGGAGGGGAGGTCCACTTGAGACTCGCCATTGGCGGGCATGGGTGTCCAGGGATAGAACTACACATACTGGGGCCCGGCTGGTAGATTGGTGTGTGGGGCCAGGGTGCACAGGGAGGAGTAGATGAGCCACTGAACTAGAACATTGAGTGCGGGGTCCCTGCAGGACTCTACTGCAAACAGCTCAGCAGCAGTTTGGGCCTTCAGGAACAGAGAGGTTTCAGAATCGCAAGGTGGGTTTCAAGGGTAAGAACATGGAGGAGGAGAGGGCCAGGCTGTGCCCACTGAGGTCCGAGATGCTGGTGGACCGGACCCCAGAGAAGGGGGCAGACCTGGCCTAGTGAGGTGGGACACATGGTGACTGTTATGCTGATTGAAGGGGCACAGGCAAGGTGGCAGCCATTGTCCTCTTTGGGTGTGAACATCTCACATTTGGTTTTGTTTCCAGGAGCCTGACTATGGAGCCCTGTATGAGGGACGCAACCCTGGCTTCTATGTGGAGGCAAATCCTATGCCAACTTTTAAGGTACAGCCTCAGGCCTTTGGACCCAGGAAGCTGGGGAGGGTCCCCAGCTGCTTAGGGCTTGCATTTCTCTGCTCAGGGGCCCATCTGTGGTCGTTGCGGAGAAGTGGTGCTTGTGGTTTTCCGAGGCCTGAGAGGTTATGAGAGAGATGTGGTTTGTGTACGACCACAGCTCTCCTGGGGCCGACCCCCTCCCTGAACTTGTCCCTGGGGGGTCCGCAGTGACCCTTCCAGGTTGTTCCCCAGGGTAACTCCTGCTTCCTCCGTGGGTGGCAGCAGGGCAGGGGAAGGCCACACTGGCCAGAAATCTTTGTTCTTTGCTTCTCAGTCCCTCACCTTGTGAAGGTCTGCCAGAGAGGATCTTCCTCTTTTTGCTTTTTTCTCTAAGGGGTAAAGAAGCTGTGCCCTATTCCTCATTCCCTTCCCTCAGTGGCCAGGGAACCTGGGAAGGAAGGTTATTTTCTCCCACTTTCCAGATGAGGAATGATAGGGTCCCATCCATGCCCATAGGCTTTCAGGTCCCAGGAGAGGCGCTAAGGGTACCTCCAGCCCTGACTCCTGGGGACAGATTCAAATTTCTCCCCAGGGCCCAGGCTGGGGGGCTTGCAGGGTTTCATCTGGACCCCATGGAGTCTCTGTGATAGAAGCCCTGGGCCTGTCCTCAGTCGCATCTGATCTGGAGCCGCCTGTAGGGCCATTATTAAGGATCATAGCAAGGTGGGCCGCCCCAGGTCAGGAGAGTGGCAAGGAGGGACCGCCTGCCCTGACCAATGCTTCCCTCCCCTGCAGTGTGCCGTCAAAGCCCTCTTTGACTACAAGGCTCAGAGGGATGATGAACTGACATTCACGAAGAGCGCCATCATCCAGAATGTGGAGAAGCAAGAAGGCGGCTGGTAAGCCAGGTCCTTGGAGCCAGGGCCTGCAGTGTGTGGGGGGCAGGCTGGGAGGTGGGGGGCCCTCTGTGCACCTCTGCCACCGTATGGTTGTAGTCCACCCTGCATGTGCGTCAGCACTGCTGGCTGCACCCTGGTGTAGGTGTGGGGCCTTGACGATGGGTTTCCCACCCCTTGGGAATCTGGGTGGCTGCTGGGGTCAGCACCATGTGGCTTCTACAGGTGGCGGGGGGACTACGGGGGGAAAAAGCAGCTCTGGTTCCCGTCAAACTACGTAGAAGAGATGGTCAGCCCTGCAGCCCTGGAGCCTGAGAGGGAGGTGAGAACAGAGCCATGTTGCTGGAACAGGGTCCCCGTCCCGACTCTTCTTGTGCACACACCAGTCACATGGTGTGCATGCACAGCCACCAGTCACCCACAGTCCAGTCACACCCCGCTATGGGGTCCGTGCGTTCATGTCGTCGCGTGTCCACTTGTAAGACGTGTGTGTTGCCTGCAGCCCTCCCTCACACGCACATACACAGCAGACATGCTGATGGCCCCATGGGCTTTGTTCTCCACAGCACTTGGATGAGAACAGCCCCCTGGGGGACTTGCTCCGTGGGGTCTTGGATGTGCCAGCCTGTCAGATTGGTGAGCCCCCATCTGATTTTCCAGCCCACTGTTCCTCATTGTCAGGCTCTCCTTGGTGGCTCTCTAGGTGTTCTGAGGGAAGAAGCCAATGCCTGCCCATCACAGAGGCTGCTCTCGCAGTCTGGATTCCCTGTGCCTGGATTCCCGCTTGACACCCTAGACTCCTCTCTTCACCTCTGGCTTTGAGCCCTACACACTCACCCTGTGCTGGGCACTGGGGGGGTAATGCAAAGGGCTAGCAGTCTTCAGACCTCTGCAGTCTACAGAGCTGGGGTCACAGGGTGTGCTGGGCATGGAGATGGGGTGGGGCAGGGCACGTGACCCAGGCAAGACAGCCCTGGCCCGCCTTTTCTGGCAGCGACTTCTCTTTGAGCTGTGGCGTCCTCAGCTGGAAAATGGGCCTAGCCCAGCAGCCTTGCTTCCCTCAAGATGTGTGGGGAGGAGGATGGGTGGTGAGGGGACTCTGAGCCAGCACCTGGGCTGTGGTGTGGGGGACACAGAAACAAACACCTTCCCAGCTCTCTCCTCTCGCTCTCCCAGCCATCCGTCCTGAGGGCAAGAACAACCGGCTCTTCGTCTTCTCCATCAGCATGGCTTCAGTGGCACACTGGTCCTTGGATGTCGCTGCTGATTCACAGGAAGAGCTGCAGGACTGGGTGAAGAAGATCCGAGAAGTGGCCCAGACGGCAGACGCCAGGGTGAGAGGCGTCTGTGGGGGCGCAGGGGCTCATGCTGGCAGCATGTGAGCCTATTGGGGGCGAGGCCTGCGGCACCAGGCCCACCTCTAGGCTGGGATCTGCAGAAAACACACATTGCCAGTCCTGTGGCTCCTTCAGGGCTGGGTTTGAGATAGCCATAGGACACCCCTGTGGGTCTAACACGCACCAGGATAAACACAGGGCCAGAGAAGTCCTGGGCTGGAGGCAGGAACCAGGTACCTGGAGGCTCAGGAGGGATGAGTGGTGTGGAGTGGGAAGAGGGCTTTAATGTTGAGGTGTGGATAGCAGGAGGAGGAGCCAGGAAGGTGGGCCAGAGAAGCTAGAAGTGGCTGAGGGGGTGAATGGAGTCTGATGTGTGGAGGGGCAGTGGAGGTACTGACAGGCACAGTAAGAACATGAAAGTGCCCATTGGTTTTGGCAGCAGTTAAGAGTCCTGGTGCCACTACCAGGAACCATGGCAGTGTGGTGGCCAGGGTTGCATGGCTGCGGGTGTCCGGGAGTGTGGAATGGCACGGACAGTGCGCCTCCTCCAGGGCCAGGGGAGCCAGCCGGGAGGAGGGTGGAGGGAGGACTCTTCCACTGAACCTGGGGAATGGAGAGAGGAAAGCACTGTAAGAGGTGAGGGAATTCTATGTGATGGCCGTTTCCTCCGGCTGTCGGTGGGGGTAGAGGGCTTACAGGTCTGTGGCTCTTCTGAAGAACAGGCACCCAGGAGCCATACAAAATGGAAGGTGCTGAGGATTATACTGGCAGACCTGCTGGTTTAGGAGATGGACTCTGGGGACTGGGCTGAAAGAGGAGGGAGTAAGAGTGTGGGTGTAGGAGACCCTGATGGAAGAGAGATGGCCTCTGGGGGCATGAGGACAGGATGGGTCGAGCTTGTGAGTGGCTGTGGTGGGTAGGTGGCTGCACTGGGGTTGGGGGAGGGGAGGTGGTAAGGTTCTTAGGCCTGGGAGGTGGGCAGAGCACACCAAAGACTGAGCCAGAGGCCTGCGTCCCCACCAAGGTCACAAGAGGGAGGCTGGGTACCCAGTGATCACAAAGCATCACTGGAGAGCGTAGCCAAGCCCAGGGCCCTGAGCTGTGGCTAAGGCATGGGTGGTGGTGAGGATCCCACCCTCTGAGAGTCTTAGAGGCAAGTGTGGCCTTCAGGGCAGGGAAGAGGAAGGATGATTCTGGGGTGGGACTTGAGGACAGAGGCCAGTGGGGTCTAGGAGATGTGTAGGGGACAGGGAAGGGCCTGGAGAGCACCTGCAGTGTGGGTGGGGCTCCAGCCTGGGGCTACAGGCTCTGCGTGTGTCACCAGCTCACGGAGGGGAAGATGATGGAGCGCAGGAAGAAGATCGCCCTGGAGCTCTCCGAGCTGGTTGTCTACTGCAGGCCGGTTCCCTTCGATGAAGACAGTAAGGGCTGAGGCCTCGGTGGGGTGGGTTTGGGTGCCCGCCCCCTGCCTCCTGGCAGGTGGAAGAGAAGCATTTCGTCCCTTATGTTGAGGTTGGGGGAGCTGCCTGGGTGGGTGGGCTCTGTAAGCATTCTCCCTGTTTGGCCCAGAGATTGGCACAGAACGTGCCTGCTACCGGGACATGTCATCCTTTCCGGAAACCAAGGCTGAGAAATATGTGAACAAGGCCAAAGGCAAGAAGTTCCTCCAATACAACCGGCTGCAGCTCTCGCGCATCTACCCCAAGGGCCAGCGGCTGGACTCCTCCAATTATGACCCCCTGCCCATGTGGATCTGTGGCAGTCAGCTCGTAGCCCTCAACTTCCAGACCCCAGGTGAGGAACTGCCCACTGGGGCGGGGAGGGGCTCCGCTGGACTGTGGGGCTGGAGTCCACTGTAACCCGGTTCTTCCAGACAAGCCCATGCAGATGAACCAGGCCCTCTTCATGGCCGGCGGCCACTGTGGCTACGTGCTGCAGCCGAGCACCATGCGGGACGAGGCCTTTGATCCCTTTGACAAGAGCAGCCTCCGAGGCCTGGAACCATATGCCATTTGCATTGAGGTGGGTGGTGCTCACTGAGCTGTGGGCTTCAGGGTGGGTTGGGGTTGCTCTGCTGGGGCTCGTTTCCTGAGTCAAGGATGGGGTGTCAGTGTGACTGGGGAGGGGGCAGTGGACTGTTTTCTGAGCTCGAGGAAGGAGTGACCATCCTCTGAGGCAGAAAGGCAGGTGCCAGCCTCCTCCGTGGGGCTAGGCCCAGAGTGGCAAAGGCCCAAGGCAGGTGGGCCAAATGTGGCCAGTTCTTAGCACTAAAGAGTCAGGCTGTCCAGTGAGGAGGCCAAGCTACGGGTAGCCACTGCCTGGCTGAGCAGGAAGCTAATGCTAGCGGTCAGCCACTCGCTGGGGCTACTGGGCTTGAGTGACAATGACGCCTGCCCCCAGTTCTGTTTTAGAACAGTCCCTGAGCACCAGCCGGGCAGCCTGTGCTGTGGACTTCAGGGTCTGGGGGCTGAGAAATCTGGAAGGAGGGCTGAGGATAGCACAGGGTGAGCATGTGCTCCTTCCCTGAGAAGACATTTCTGTTTTCTTTTCCTGTGGGGACATCGTTTAAAAGATGTCCATGTTAAAACAGACATGGATTTAATGAGGTAGGTTTCCAAAGCCACTGCTCTCAGTGAGCCACGTATAAGGCCGCCTCTGTGGGGCCCAGCAGAGGGCGCACTGCCTCCACTGCATGGTGAGGTCCCGGAGGGAGCGGGAAGGGGAGTCCCGGGCCCATCTTGGCCTGCCTTCCAGGTGCTGGGGGCTCGGCACCTGCCAAAGAACGGCCGAGGCATCGTGTGTCCTTTCGTGGAGATTGAAGTGGCCGGAGCAGAGTACGACAGCATCAAGCAGAAGACAGAGTTCGTGGGTAGGTCTGCCTTCCCCACTCACCCCACCCTGAAGGCCCCTCCACGCCAGCAAGCCTGTCCTCTCATGGCGGTGGCCTGAGGCCTTTTACCCTGACTTTTACAGTGGACAATGGACTGAACCCTGTGTGGCCTGCCAAGCCCTTCCACTTCCAGATCAGTAACCCGGAATTCGCCTTTTTGCGCTTTGTGGTGTATGAGGAAGACATGTTTAGTGACCAGAACTTCCTGGCTCAGGCTACATTCCCGGTGAAAGGCCTGAAGACAGGTGAGGCCTTTCCTAGGGACAGGGCCTGGGCTCTAGCCCGGGGGCCGGGGCAGGTGGGGGGCTCCCCCTGCCCAGCTGCCTCCTGGGCTGAGGGCCAGGCCTTCCTCCTTCCAGGATACAGAGCTGTGCCTTTGAAGAACAACTACAGTGAGGACCTAGAGCTGGCCTCCCTGCTTGTCAAGATCGATGTGTTCCCTGCCAAGGTAAGGGTGGTGGGGGTGGCGGGGAGCCTCTCCAGGCCCCAGGAGGTGCTGACCCCTCGTGCACTGCTGTTGTTGAAGCAGGAGAATGGGGACCTCAGTCCTTTTGGGATGTCTCTTCGGGAGCGGGGCTCTGATGCCTCAGGCCAGCTGTTCCATGGCCGGGCCCGTGAAGGTTCCTTTGAGGCCCGCTACCAGCAGCCATTTGAGGACTTTCGTATCTCCCAGGAGCACTTGGCAGACCATTTTGACAGTCGGGAACGGAGGTGAGGGGATAGAGGATGGGGGGCATACTGGAGTGATGGGAAGGAGCGCCTGCTGCCCCTTCTGGGTCCTTCTCTTGCATCTGTGTAGAAGTTACCCTTGTCTGGCTTTGGGCTGTCCCACTGGACTGGAGGCCCCACTGCTGATGAGGACACGCCCTCCTTTCTGTCCAGGGCCCCACGGAGGACACGGGTCAACGGAGACAACCGCCTCTAGTTGTGCGCCAGCCTCGTTGAGAGCAGCAGGTGCCGCGTGCCTCCTGGAGTGCCATGAGCTGGGTTCTTGGGAAGTGGCCTGTCGTGGCAGCCTTCCTGGCCCTGAGGCCTGGAACCTGGATTCCAGCAGTGACTGCTAGACAAAGCCAAGCCATGAATGAGATATATCACTGTTTGGGGCCTCCCTGCCGCAGCTCTGGGTGAAGGCAAAAACTGTACTGTGTCTCAAATTAATTAAGCACACATATCTGGTCCTGACTTCTGGAGATGGAGCCTTCCATCCGTGGGGCCGGGACCATGGCTGCAGCCCCTTGAAGAGAGAGGCTGCCTCAGCCCGCAGCTCGGGAGGCTCTGAGGAATGGCTGACCTTTCTAAGAGAGGAGCCGCAGCCGCCTCACTTGGCCAGGGAAACAAACCCAAGTTTACATTGTCCTGTAGCTTTAAATCTCCAGCCGGGCAGGGGTGGGGGCATATACCCCCCGCAGTTTGGCCCCCCCGGAGCTGGGGCAGAGGAGCACAGGACCTGCCTGCAGAGGGGCCCCGCCTGCTCGAGGAAGACGACACAGCACAAGGGCGCGCTGCCCGTGGCCGGGGACTGCCCAGCCTGCAAGATACAGGGGATCATGTTAGAAATAGCAGCAGTGGGCAGCCCAGGCTGCCACTCGGGCCACTGGGTGAGGGGCCTGAGGAGCCGAGCCCCAGGGAGCTGCCTGGAGGAGGGACAGCAGCACCTCAGGATCATGGGAGGAGGAGGAGCAGGACCTGGACGCCCCGTACTGCCATGGGCTATACCACCTGCCTGCTGCCCGAAGCCAGGGGCTGGCCCCAAGGTTGATGCTCTGGATGCGAACCTGGAGTCCAGAACTGCTCACCAGGATGCCAGAGTTTGGGGATGTGCTGGCCCAGCTGCACGGCAAGTCCTGCCACACAGCAAGGGAGCCGCCCGAAGGCAGAAGGTCTAAGAGCGCCATCGACAGCCTGGAGGCCTTTGTCGGAGACGGTGCCGGTGGGGCCAGGATGGCCGGGATGGAGCAGGTCACGGGCCACAGCAAGGATGTTCCCCAGTGCATTCAGGAAGCCCCTGCACACACAGACATGCCTCCTTCCAGGCGCCCTCCAGCAGGCCGGCTAGGGGACCCCCACCCCTACTCCACCCCACCCCCGTCCCAGTTCAGACTGAAGACCACTCTCCCTGTTGCAGCAGAAGACCTGGGATCGAAGTCTGCAGACAGCACTGCAGGAGGATGCGGAGATGATCCTGAGTGTTCGTTAAACCAGTTGAAAGTCCTGTTACTGGGCATCTGTGATGTTGGAGATGGAATTTTAAAGGTTATTTTTTTTGCACACCCCATTTCTCACTATCTTCATTATTTCATGTAGGTGTATGATTTTCTAGGTCTTCCACTTCTAACCAGAAAGCTGCTTGGTTGGGGTGGGGAGCAAAAATGAATGAACTTGTCTGTGCACTGTGGCAGAACTGTTATTTTTATGGATTTTACAGCTCAACTAACAGTGTTACTTTTCAAGATTTATATATTTATATACTCTTAAGAAAAACCACTGAGCCGTTAAAGCCTTGTTATTATTCGATCCTAATAGTGATTCCGTTTTCTATAGCTTACTTTTAGGGTAGAAGGTAAATTATTTAACATTCTATTAAACTTTCCATATCATGGATTGTAAACCGAAGGAAATCATACAATTTCTGAGAAAATGTATTGGTTTATTTAAACCTAATTCCAAAGTTGTCTTTGCAAGTATGACCTCCCAGTCTTGTCCATAGCAAACATATCTCTATATGGTTGCCAGTGTTTGGTTTATAATTTAAGTATTAACAAAAATCTTAAACTTTATGGGAAAAGCTTTACTTCTGAAAAGGACTTTAAATGATGGCAGTACTATTTTCCTTCTCAGTAGTATCATACGTAACTAAGTTACTTCCTCCTGCTCTTCACCATGGGAGGGAAGTCTTGAGGCAGAGCCCAGGGGAGGGGAGGGCGGGAGAGGGGGAGGCTGTGACCTGTCCTGTGGACATACCTGTCCTGTGCTGTGGGGCCGCTGGGACTGTGGACCATAAGGCTGTCAGGGATGGGGTAGGGGCGGGAAGAGAAGAAAGAGTAAAGCCTATTCTGACAGGTGGTTTTCTGTATGCTTTCCCTTAGGAATGAAAGAGGGTTAAGGAATTGCCTGCTTTGTGGGAGGTGTGGGGACAGCTGCTGTGCAGCCAGCCACTTCTAGCTGTCTAGCTGGGGGAAGGTGTGGGAAGGCAGCCCCACTGGAGGACAGGGGGGCCAGGCCCATGGGCACAATGGTGTCCCACAGCACGGCCAGTGCTCGGCCATTCATGCCAGCTTCTTAGGGTCTGACTGCCAAATAAGCCAGCCCCCATCCCTTTGGGTGCCCTCATGGTGGGGAGGGCGGCTCGGGAGAGCAGGTTGTCTGGAGACTTGGTGACTCTGGACAAGTTGCTAGGTGGTTATTCTGCAGAGCAGGCAGGTTGGGAGGTTTTTGGCAACTTCCAGGTCAAGCAGATCCTCCCCTCTGGGCTCTGAGGTGCGGTGAGGCCATGCTCTGCTCTGACTCTGACTCCTCTGCAGAGGGCCTGTGGGGGTAGAGTGTAGCCACTGGCCTCCCTGCGTGCAAGCCCGAGTTCCTGTGTCCTGTCAGTTCTGGAGGTGAACAGGAAGCAACCAGAGAGAGTCCCTTCCCAGTTCCATAGACACCTCTCCTTCCAAAAAAACCTACAGCTTCCAGAAGTAGGTTGAAAATCCTCAAGAGCTTGCAACCAAATCTCTGTGCCCAGACCTGATTGAAAAGGCCCTGCCCTTACCGTCCCCTGGCTCTGTGCTGGCGTGGATCAGAAATGCGTGCACACAGCTGCCCGCCTGGTGGGTGGGTGGGGCAGGCAGAAGAAGCCAGCCCGGGGAGCCTGAAAAGATTGGTCACTGAAAAGATGCAGACACATATAATCAGTTGGTTCTTAAAATAGTAATTACTACACCCCTGGTGTGATAATGCATATACCAAACGAAGCATGGAGAGACCAAGATTTTTTAAGTCCAGTCCAATGGTGATTAGGAGTTCTAGGTTCCAATCATCCCTTTCTTGTTTGACAAGTCAGACCATAAAGACCTAACACTTCCCAGGTTACAGATACCGTAGGCCCCTCTGAGCACCCCCACCCCGGAGAACTGGATCAGTTGGGAGCATTCCTGCTCCTCCACTGCACTGGCTTGCCAGCATCGGAGCGCCTACTGCTCAGGCTCTTGCTGGCCCCTTGGCTTTCTTCCTTGAGCTCCTCTGACCTACTCAGAAGGATGGTCCTTTTCCCACAGACAAGGTGGGTGGGGGGAGTTAACCTGGACTTCCCTGGACCAAGTTTTCTCACTTCAGATTCTTGTGGCCAGGGGAGCGCTTTCCTGTGAAGGAAGCGGTTCTGTGCCAGCCCTTTAGTTAGGGGCCGCCTGTCATCACAGGACATGCTTGGCTTACTGGTGTTGATCACCTTTATTTTAATCAGGACATATGTTCACTTACTGAACAGGTGTCTTTCTGGAGAATGACATTGGGAGGAAAGCTCTTGCTGCCCCTGTGGTGGCTTCAGACCTGAAGCATGCCTGTCTCCTGCCTGCCACCCCCCCCCAGCTCCCCTGGGACACTGCCCTTGCCTTTCTTCGATGCCAGTGCCCTGATCCTTCCTCCTAGCGGCAAACATGACAACCCCCAGTTATGCAGATATACTGATCACATTCACCCCGCTTCCTCCAGCCAGCCCTGACCTCATCGATTGCTGCGTGAGGCCCCACAAGCAGGTGGGGAGGCAGCTTGAGGTGGCACTGCCTCCCACCCACTGGGTCAGGCATCACCTGGGAAGCTCCTGAAAAACACCAGTACCCAGAGCCCTGCAGGTATTTTTCAAAAGCTGCTCAGATGAACCGAATGAGACCCCGGTTTGGGCAGAGTCCCCTGTTGTCTCCGATAGGAACTACCCCCGGCTGGCTGGCTGGCAGACCGGGGACAAGCAGGCTGCGTTCCAAGGGGCAGGCCTGGACTTCTCATCCAGTGGACACGTGCACACAGCACTACCTGCAAGATCGGGCTTTCTAGAGCTTCTGCAAAGAGCAGGCAGGCCAAGAACACCTCTCAAAAGGCTGCCCTGTAACGAGCAGGCAGGAGTGGTTTCGGACCCCAGGTGAGGACAGTGCCCTTAACAAGGATCTGTAGCCCTGAGCAGAGAACACAAGGCCCCCCTCCTGACCACATCCTGAACAACACCTGAAGGCTGGGGCTGGTTAGGAACTCCACCGTCGTTTGATTTGAGCCCCTATCCTCCCACCATGGCTGTTCTTTGGAAGGGAGAGACCAAACAGCGGCAGCCTATCCCACCAAATTAGAACAAAGTAAGGTCCTGCCTTCCCTCAAGGGGTCCAGCCCTGCGTCAGGCTGCCACCCCTCACTGGGGCCTCTATAGTCCCCCCCCCCACTCGGGGGACTATCCCTGGGGACTATCCTATCCCTGGGGTCCCCTATCCCTGGGTACTTGGGATCAGGGGTCAGGCAGGGCTTGTTTCCTGCCTGTGGACCATGCAGCAGCCCCACGGAAGCTCCTGGCAACACCCCGTGGGCTTCTGCTACCAACTCTCCATCAGTGTGGCCTGGAAGCCACTGCCTGAGTCTGCACCCACCCTGGGGGCCTGGCTGATTGGCTTCAGGGTCCCGCACCAGGTGGGGCTAGCTCCCAAGCACTTGCCTTACATGTGACACAAAGCTGCTTTCCCAAGGCCTAAGCCGGCCTTCAGGAGGGGACAGTCAGGGACAGGCCCTGGGGTCCACCAGGGGCAAGAGCCGCTGGCCTACCGTGGTATGTCTCTGCCCCGGCGGACCACCCCAAGGCCCTCGACCACCCAAGGTTAGGTGCTCTGAATCTTAGAAATGGGGCTTTTAGCATTCCTCCAAGGCCCCTCCTGAGCACACAGGGCTCTTCTCTGGGGAAAAGACAGGAAAGAAGGACTTGCCAGCGTCCTTTCACCAGACGCCTGACGACTGCCCGTCTGACTCCTCTGCCTTTGTCTAGGTAGCGTAATTTCTAAGAACGTCACAGTTCAGCACGTGGAAGCCAGTGCCACGGACACAGCAGCGTGGGAGGCGGTGAGTGCAGCTTTCCTGAAATGGGCTGAGTTTAAGGTCGGGCTTGCCCACTGAATAAATCAGATGTCAGGTGTTTTTAGTTTCTCAGGCTCCCCCACAAAAGAAACTCAGCAGATGTGAAATGTGAAATTTAGGTTTTTATTTAGGAACAATCAAAAGATTTGAAGTACCATTTCGGCCCATACCAAATTGTATAAGCAATTTGGCTCTGCTCCCTCATCCAAATCCACAGATACAAAATCTAGGAAATGTGCAATTTGCATCTTAGAAATAGCAGCATCCCCACAGGGGACCTCATGAGGCCTGGAGACGCAGCCCGGAGAGGGCAGCCCACTGCTCCGCCTCGGCACAGCCGCGGTCCAAAGGCAAGTTACATCGTTCTAAAAGAGACACGTCCCCCCACCCACCCCCCCGGGGGTAAAAATCTCCCACGCCACCCAGGCCAGACCCCGAGTATGCCCCTCAGTTTGGTCTCACACCTGGCGGCCGGGGCCGGGGGCTTCTTGGATAGTTCGGTCAAGTTCCCATTTGCCTCTGGACAAGCAGGGCCAGTGGCCTCTTCCTTAGCACCATGATGATCATGTCTTTGTGCCGCCTCTGGGAGACAGGAGGCGCACCAAGGCAAACCACTCACAGCCATTGCCAGCCCTCCTGTGGCATCGAAGACCAGAAGGTGCGGGGGGGGGGTGGGAGGGGTAGAACCAGGAGTCGGGGCCGCCGGGAAGGACCCCGCAGCTGGGGAAGCCTCCCCGACTTCGCCAGGACTGCTCAGTAAACTTTCAGTGAGCAACAGCCGGCAGGGGGGAGAGGACGCTTGGCGTGTTTCCTCTGTAGTAACCACCCTGGCCCAGTCGGGTCCCCCCGACACAGCTGAACGACAAGGCTGCCCAGAGGCACCACAGGAACCCCCATACACGGGGGACGGGGCGGCACCCCTTCTCACTGGTCACACAGAGCGCCCGCTGACCATGCAGGGTCCTGCTGAAGGCAGCCGGGCTCCCCCTCCAGCCAGTTCCTGGCAGCCTGGCGCTCCCGGCCCACCAGCATTTCAAGCAAACTGCCAGGAGACTGCTGGACGGGCAGGGACCAGGGATGGGTGACAACCTCTCTCTTTAAAGGCAAATCACAGGGATCCCTGGGTGGCGCAGCGGTTTGGCGCCTGTCTTTGGCCCAGGGCGCGATCCTGGAGACCCGGGATCGAATCCCACGTCGGGCTCCCGGTGCATGGAGCCTGCTTCTCCCTCTGCCTGTGTCTACTTCTCTCTCTCTCTCCCTGTTTGTGACTATCATAAATAAATAAAAATTTAAAAAAAAGTAAAGGCAAATCACAGACCAGCCACCCAGGGAGCAGAGTCTCACCCTCTGCCAGCGCATTTCCTCTGGGGTTTGGGCCTTGGGAGAGATCCTGCGTGTGCAGCTTTCTCCATTCAGACTCTGAACAGCCTCTACCCTGGACAATCCACCTTCGGCTCCAGCCGAACACCTCAAACCCTTCTAAGTCACCCACTTGTCTTGGAGAGGAAGGGCAGGCCTAGAGCATCAGCCAAGAAAAGCCCCTAATGCTTGAGTGCTCGGGTGTACATGTGAGCACGCGGCAGAGCCGGGCTCCGGGGGAGAGGCACCTACAGCAAGTCAACACTCAGACGCTCATCACCTGCCCCCGGTGGGCAGCAGGAAGACCCCCGACAGACAAGGCCAGCTCGTGCCCCTGGAACAGTCCTGCCGGCTGTGCGCACCCTCCCTCTGGCTCCGAACCGAGCAGCCACCAGGGCCAGGTTGTGGGGGCCGCGGAAGCCTTGGGCCGGTGACAGCCAAGCAGGAGGTTCTTTGTGGATCCTGGCAGGCCTGCGAACCAAAAGATAGGATTTTTAAAAATCAAGGCAGCGGGTGCTTGCTGCTACCCTCGTCCATGTGGTGACCCAGGCCTGCTGGCCCAGGCCAGACGCTGGTTTCCACCCCTGCTCTGGACTCTGGCGGAGAAGGCTTGCTGCCCGCTGGGGCCGGCTGTCAGCTCTCCAGTGTGGGGAAGGACCAGGACCCCGTGCAGAGGAGAGGAGGTCAGCGGCCCGTCTCGACGTGTGCTCAGGACGACAGAAAAGCAGGCTCTTGATCCCCCCGAGGGCCAAAATACCCTGACCCCTGGCCTCACTCCCGCGCACACCTGCTGGGTCACTTCCAGAAACCCCTTTCCAGGACAACCCTGTGCCAGGAGCACCGCAGACTCGGGCAGAAACAAACGCTAACCGAGGCCTCTCCATTCCGTCTGGAAGTGGAGCGGGGCTGGGTAGGCAGCGAGAAGCACCCACAGTCGTCACTTCCGCGGTCACTTGGCCCAAGCACAAACCCCACTTTGACAAGAAGCTGCCTCCAGCCTCCTCAGCCCTGGTGTCGCACAGCTTGGCTGTGACAAATGGCCAGAGAAACATCATGATGGCCTCAGACCACAGTCCGGCTGGGGGAGAGGACGATGAGGGGGCGGCTCGGGCTCCCCCACCCTGCTTTCTCCAGGGCAGGTGCTCCCCCAGCCACACCCACTTGGCCCCCAAGGTCTGGGCAGGAAGGCCGGGCGAGCCTGTGCTCCTCAGGAAAGGGCGCAAAGGAAGCAGAGTCAGGAGACGTGGAGACGGGGCTCCAGATGGGAGGGCGCAGAGCCCGGCCGGTTAGCCTCCTGGCTCAGGCAGCCGCTGGCTCTGGCCCGGAACTCAGTCACGTGGATCCTCGCGCACCTATGGGATCTTTCTTCTCCAGCATTTCTTCCCCTGCACATCGAGGGACTAAAGGAGAATTTAAACTTAATACAAAAGGTGGGCCAAACCAATAACCTGCCCCAGATCAACTCTGAGCAAGGAAAAAAGGGGAGATGAGAAAAAGCCCAAATTCCAGGTTTGACTTGGTTTCAGGCTTTCTTCTTGGCCGGTTCTCTGCCCTCACAAAATGCCTGGATCACCTGGGGCTGTAACGGTTAAAGTGACAAAGCTGCTCTGAGAAGAGAAGAGGAAGACAGAGGCGACAGGGCCGGAGACCAGGCAGCACAGGCGGGAGCTGCGTGAGGATGTGCAGGGAAAGGCCAGCACCCACCCTCCCTGGAATCAGCCTGGCACAGATGTCCCAGAGCCAGAGGGGAAAAGGAGGTGACACGAGACCTATCACTGGGCCACTGACTGAGGTTGAAGAGCCACATCTCAGCCTGGAAACCATGCGGAGACTTCCTGGTGGGACAGCCTCCCACGGCCAGCTGGGATGCCGCCATCCATGCACTGGGAGCCCACAAGCTCCACCAGCTCTGCCCGGCTCCCACAGCCGTGCTTCTGGGGAACAGGGAGCAGGGCCTCGGGTCAAGGCGCTTTGGTCCCCCGGGACAGCCGCCAGTCACTCGGCCAAGCCAGGAGCCCCAGGTCACACAGCGCTACCAAACCCCAAATGCCAACAGGCCATCCAACCAGGCCCTCTATTTCAGGAACCGGAGGCTCCTGAAAATGAGAACCCTCCTCTCAAATCAAAACCCTCCTTTAATAGTCAAGAATTAAAATAAGTAATCAAAAATGTAAAGTATGTGTGTATCATAAACCCAGACTTCCTTTATCAGAATGGTGATCGGGTTTCACCTATTACAACAGAATCTACAACCCCATGTAAAAAATATAAGAAACCAAACATGTGCCAGACATAGGTGACAAGAAACACTGAAATATTTTACTATCTCTGACGAGTCCACGTGCATACAAAGAGGGGAAAGATGAGTCACCTCATACAACAGGCTTTTCTTCAGGAGAGACTAACCCCACCTCTCAACTCTTCAGCCCACAGACCGCCGTCTGCCTGAGGCGCAATCACAGACACCCTTCGACAGCATGCAAAACCACAGTGAGGGCCTGCTGCTGCGGTCCCACACCCCCAAACTCCGGACCTGTGTGGGTCCGTGTACCAGGTTGGCTGTGCTCCCCAAGCACCCAGAGCCCTGGGCACCTGCTCACCGACCCTGCCGGCCCTCTTGCCATCACCTCTGATCGTCTGATTCTTCTGATTCTTGCAAGTATAGGGCTCCAACCCCACCGTCTGCCCTGGTCCAGAGCGCAGTGAGGAGGAAGGATGGTCTCGTCTGCGGGGCTCCTTACCTGGGCAGTCCTGCCATTGTGGGATGGCCCTGGCCACTGGGCAGGGCTAACCTCTGAGGAAAACCCACCCAGGCGGGCAGGCCTGTAGCCTCTCCACCTTCTAAAGCCGGGCTGGTGCCGAAGCCGGGTTGCTACGTCCTGCACGAACTTGTCCACCATGTAATTTAGTTTTTCTTTTGCTGTTTGGGTTGTAAATGATATAGGAGTATAACTTAAATAACCAAGAAAATCCTCTGTAAAGCCCCTTGTGCAGTGCATGCGGGGCTCTGGGAGTGAGGCGGCAGGATGGGGTCTCAGGCACTCAGACGGTTTCCGGCCGGGCGGCCTCAGCTGCTCCCAGGGGACCGGCCTTCCCTCCAACACAGGCTACCTTCCCCAACAGCCACCTCAGATGTGCACTTTATCAGAAAATATCAGATGAGTATCTGTCCTGTATCTATGTGTATATATAAATTAATCTGCACGTACATAAACGCTAAAGGAAAAGCTCCAGGTGTCTGTTCTCTGAAGGAAGGCAATCGCTCGCCAATTCTGCCGAGACGTCTTTGGGGCTAAAGAGCTTCATGCTCCGATGGAAAGGACACAAACAAGGGGCACAGACTTGCCAAGTGCTCACATGTCACATTTGAAACAACTACGAGGTGGTCCCTGCTGGGCCCAGGAGAGCAGAAGACACTTTAGAAGAACGGGGGCTCAAGGGCTTTTGGTTTCCAGGGAAAGCCCTCTCCTGGAAGGCAGAAGGGCCACCTCCATCTTCCCCTTGGAGCCAAGCCAGCAAGATGCGTCCCCTGGTCCAGCTCCCGGGCGGGCGAGGAGGACAGTGCCACCCCCCATGGGCTGTTGTGCCCAAGCCCCTGCCCTCTCTCGGGGGCCCCTGGTGCCGCCCACCCTGCCCTGACCGGGAGGAGCAGGCTTACAAGGCCTCGGTGCTTTGGGAGGCAGGTGGTCTCCGGGAAGTGAGCGGAGCTGCGGGGGACATGACTTCTGCTGCCCCGTCTTCACTTGCCGCAATCAGAGCAGCCAGTTTGGGGGAAATGGGAATTTACCATGTAGTACAGCTTTGTAAGCCAGTTTCCCAGTGTTTCAAAAGCACCTTTTCCTGTGATTTTTCTCAATTAAAAAAAAAATGAATATGAGGATTAGGCTTAAGTAGACGATCTTGTTTCCAAATCTGGGGACATAGTGCAGAACTTAACATCCTCAGCAAGGCCTGTCTAGTGATATCCAGCACCCAGGCAGGCCCTCAGCGGGGGGCCCCGAGTCCTCCAGGTGTGCTGCCAGGAACCCCAACGTGTTGGTCTCTGTACGCAGCACCGCCCCAAGTCCCCAGATCCCAGCAGCGCTCACTCCTACTCCCAGCCGAGTGCGGGTCTTCCTTCCCAGACACAGGCAGCCTTGAAGTGAGTGCGGGTCAAGGGCTCCAAAAAACCACAGCGGCCAGAGCCACATGCTGGGTCCATGCACCTCTACTTTCAGCCCTGCCTGTTTCTTTTTCCAATTTTCCTCTCACTCTCAACACATCTAGATTGAAAGAGAAACAAGAACATGGGCACATAGGTCAGTACATCAGGTTTAACAACAAATGCTTCTTTAAGTTGATCTGATAACTGAAAAGTTCTGGTCCATGATTCAAACTCCCACAAACAAGCAGAACAGCTGGAACCACGTACGAGGGCGGTGAGCAAAGGCTACCTGGTGAGCAGTGGGTTTTCAGCTCACAGGTGAGGGCGGTCCCCGCTGATCCGCCCACGGGGCAAGGCGAGCAGGTGGCCCGGTGCTGGCCGCCGGGGTGGAGGCCTCTGCAAAGGTACTGCCTTCCCTTGAGGGGTGCACAGGGACGGCTGGGGCTTCAGACTGGTGCGCCCTGCCCACTGTGCAGGGGACACGCGGCCCAGGGATCTCCAGAGAACAGACACAGGGCGTTTTCAGAGATGATGTAAAAGACAATGTACTGCTTGCTAACCAAAGTTTCTATGTAATGAAAGTGTTTATAATCTGATGTTTTATTAAATGTGTATAGGCGGATTTATATGTTAAAAACTTGATTCCGTGTCTATGAATATGAAATCTGAACTATTTTATCCACTGGAAGGCAAAGGAAAGGCCCTACATCGTGGGAGGAAGAACTGACAAGAACTCTACTCTCCCCGCTGGCTTGCTCGGTGGCGGCAGGCCGGAGGTGGCGGCGCGCTCTGGGCTGGTGGCGAGGCCTCCAGAAGCTCTCACGCATGCCCAGCGATGGGCATGGGGACAGCACGTGGCAGCAGCGGAGAGTCAGGTTGAACCCTTCCACATGGCAGGCGGCGTCCCGGACTGGCCAGTCCTTCAGAGTAATCAGTTCAAATTCAGTCTGTTTCTGAGGAGAAAACACAGGCCTGTCACCTCCACATCAACTGCCACCTGCACAGCCCCTGAGGCAGCCTGGTCCTCGCTGTGCTTTGGGGACCTCTCAATGCCGGGAGCAAGGCTCTCCTGCCAGCCACCTCCCAATCCTGCAGCCCAAGGGCCGGTGAAGGAGAGTGTGCAGGGTAAGGACCTACAGGCTCCCCAGGGACCCACCGCCAAACCCCAGGCGGCTGCCACCTGGGACCCCGTCCCCATCTGCCTTCTCCTGCCCTTCCCCGCCAGCTCTCCAGAATCCATGTTCTCACACGACAGCAGCTGGGGCTAGTGTCTGTACCTTCTGCAGATGTCCTCTACCCCTGAGGTCAAAGTTTGCGGGGTTGTTCAGAGGCCCATCGTCTGTGACACTTGTCGACGTGGCCCTTGCTCCGAGGCTGGCCACAGAGAAACCGGGTACAAACAGACAAGCCCTTCCTGAACCCAGGGGTTATCTGCTTCAGACAGAAGAGGATGAGGCCACAGTGCCCCGTCTGCTGTCCCGCCGGGGACAGAACACTTCACCCAGTGGTGGACCTAGGAGCTGAGGGGGACCAGCGCTTGTGACTCAACCCTACTCATCCCACCTCCAGGTTAGCTTTTTCTTTTTAAATTGTGATAAAATATACATAACATAAAAGCTGCCATTTTAACCATCTTTGAATATACAATTAAATGGCTTTAAATATATTCACAAGGTTGTATAACCAACCACTACCCTCTCTCTCCAGCTACCCAAGAATATACTTCGGCGAAATTTTAATTTAAACAAACAGAAAAAGGAATCAGTTTGTTTTACTGCCAGCAAGCCGGGGGTGGGCATTCCCCGGGCATTCCCCAAGGGCAGGCCCGTGCTGGAGAAGGTGCCCAAGACACCAGCCCTGAGAAGCCAGTCCTGTTCCCTGGAGCCCACCACTCCCCATGAGGGCTTCACTGACTCATGGGGCCCTTCAGGAAAACAAGATCAAGTCTGGAAATATCAGGCCCTAGAACCAACTTCTAAAGGTCCCCAAATCGGAGAATCTGAGAATCCAGACACTTGTTTGGTTTCCACAGCCCCCTGTGAAGAGCTAAGTCTTGTGGCTCCTGGTCATCCTGTGATGAGGCCTCTGGGGAGGCAAACACCCAAGGATGGGGAGGCAAGGGGGAGGCTGGGAACTCTGAGGGTCGGGACCCGATACCCACAATGGGACTTGTCCGTGGCTTCAAAACTATCTTCAATAAAATCATCTTCTGAAGTTTTCTTTCAGGGACACGTGGGTGGCTCAGTGGCTGAGCATCTGCCTTTGGCCCAGGGCGTGATCCCAGGTCCTGGGATCGAGTCCCACATCGGGCTCCCTGCAGGGAGCCTGCTTCTCCCTCTGCCTATGTCCCTGCCTCTCTCTGTGTGTCTCTCATGAATAAAGTTTTCTTTTGAGGGTTAATACCAGGGATATGATCAGGAGAAACTGAGGAACGAAACTCAAGCTTTTGATTCCATGTATGTCTAAGAGAGAAGATGATTTTCCATTACTCCGAATCAGAAAGAGCAACAGAAATGTAAATTATGGAACTTTCATCATTTAAATGAAAGCACTTCCCTTACCTAAGGGCAATCCAAGCGCCGCTTTCCTTTTGCTCGCAGTCCTGAGTTGAATTTCTCCAACAGTCCCATTGCTCTCTCCTACCCAGGGGTTGTGGTCCTGCCTGACTCTGATGGCGCTTTGACCTATTCTCCCACTGCTGAGAAATGACTAGAAAAGCTCACACCCTTGTAGGCTCACTGTGTACCTTCCCCTGCACAGGTGTAAAGACCCAGGAAATATATCGGATCATAGGTCACATTCCTATTCTGCTCCCAGGGCGCCTGCTGAAGCAGCCCAGCCACTGGGTCCCACTGCCAGGGAGCTTCAGGAGGGCAGACGTCCCAGCGGCCTGTCAGGGAGGCCCCCCACCCTCCCCTCAGAGGATGACCCTGGCCCCTGTGGGCTCCTTACCCAGCTGAAGTCCAGCCTGGGGACTCGGGGCATCAAAGGGCTCCGAGCCGACCTCAGGGGCGCCGGGCTCCCACGACTCACTGTTCTCCGACACCTCCGAATACGCGTCCCCCGTCCCTTTGTGCCCAGCCGCGGGCTCGCCGGCGCCCTGGTCCTCACCGCCTGTGTCCGCCACAGCCCGGGTCTCCTCGCCCATTTTCTCCGCAAACCACTGCTTCACCTGCTGGGAGCTCATCTGGGTCTTGTCGCAGAGGCTCTGCAGGTCCTCGTCGCACAGCGTCTTGTGCGACAGGTAATAGCCCTGCAGCAGCTCCCGGTTGCCCGGGGTGACGACCAGCAGGCCTGGGGGGAAGTTGCCCCGCTTATAGTCTTCGTACCACTTGAGCTGGCCGTTCTTCAGGGCGTACCTACTGTCCCCAAACCAGCGCACCACCTCAGGCCGCGGCAGGCCAGTCTGGGCCATGATGGCGTCGTAGTCCTGGGTGCTGGGCCATCGCGTCTGCACGAATAGCTGGCGCAGCAGGTGCCGCTGCTGGGCGGTCTTTTTGCAGCTCGCCTTGCCAGGGGGCTGCTCGGCCGGCTTGCCGGGCCCTTCCTCCTCGGGCTCGCAGGCGCCCGGCCCCGGGAGCTCGCTCCTGCCGTTGGCCTCGGTGACCCGCAGGTTCTTGAGGTTGATCTTGATGGGGCTGACCTTGCGCTCCGCCAGCATGTGGCCGCCGAGCGCTTCCGGGGAGCCATCTTCGCCGGGGACCCTGAGGTCCCCCACCAGCTCCTCGTCCCCCGCCTCGTCCTCCGCAGCCACAGCCACCACCTCCTCCTCCTCCAGAGCAGCGCCCCCATCAGCCCTCCTGGTGTCCTCGGCACCCACTCTCTTCCGCCTCTCTGAGAACCAGCTGTCGATCTCCCTCCGGGTCATCTTGGTTTCCGTCCTCAGGCGGTCCAGCTCGTCGTCGGGAGGAAGAGGGTTCTGCGCAAAACTGCTCTCCAGGGCTCTGAGCTGCTCGGGGGCTCGCTCCTTGTACTTGGTTGGCGTGAAGTCGGGGGTCTGGTGCCAGGCCTGGCGTCTGGCGGAAGGGGGGGAAGCCAGGGTGGACGCGGGCGGGCCGCAGGGCACCTCGGGGGCCTTGGCTGCCGCCGGGGAGAAGGGCGCCTCGGGCCCGGGGTCGATGATGATGGCGCCGGGGTCACCGGGCAGCATGGTCCTGGAGCCCTTGAGGTTCCGGCAGTGGTACCGGCGGTCGCTGAACCACTTGCGCACCTCCCGGGTGCTGAGGCCCGTCACTCTGGTCAGATGCTCCACCTCGCTCTGCCCCGGGAACTGGTTCCGACAGAAGCTTCCTTTCAGGGCGGACAGCTGTTCGTGAGACTTCTTGTTCTTGTAGATGCTGGCGTCCAGGAAGGCTTGGGAGGTGATGCTGGGGCACGCCGTGAGCAGCGACTGGGCTGCGTTGACCACCTTCACGGCCGACGTGGTGTTGGAGCACACAGTGTTAATGGGCGCCACGGTGGGCTGCTTGGGGACCGACGTGACCGCCGGCGGCAGGGCCGAGCTGGGCGCCTGCAGCCCATTGGCCATCAGTGGCTGTGTGACCAGCAGGCCACCCGCTGCGCCCTCGGGCTGCCCCACCACGTGGCCCGGGAGGGCGGCCTGGATGAGGTGCTGCACGCCGCCGGCACTGGCCACCAGGGGCGTGTTGAGGACAGTGATTGTGGGCTGGGGTACGGACTGAATGACCGTATTGAACATCTTTTTCCGGGCGTCCTCGATCTCCTCGGGGGACCAGCTGATGCCCTGCTTCAGCCTCTGGGCTGTGAACCAGATCTTGAGCTGCTCTTCCGGGTACTTGGTGACAACAGTCAAGTAGCAGAGCTCAGCTTTGGTCGGGTAGGGGAACTTGTGGAAGGAATTCTTGAGAAAGCTGTTGGAATCCATGGCCGCATTGTAGGTGGGGATGCTGCTCAGTGGGATCATCACCTTGGGCAGGGACTTGGAAGTGGGCAGCGGCTGGTGGCCGTGGTGCTGGGTGTGCACGGGGGGCGGCTGCTGCAGGGGCAGGAACTGTGCCAGACCAGCCGGCAGAACCGGCACCGCTCCCAGCAGGGGACCATTGGCCACATGCGGCCCTTTTGCCGAGCTGCTGGCTGGCTGAGCAACCGGGACCGCCCCGTTGACAAAGGAGTGATCCCCCTCCTTCACCTCACTCTCCCCAGCTGAGGGGTTTGGTAAGGCCGTGTCACCCACAGGCTGACTGGGGAGGTTCTCCTTGAGTGTATGAATTTTTTTGGCTTCAGCTTTGCCTTTCATTATCTTCATGATTGGGGTTTTGGTAATGATGATTTCAGCCTGTCCATCAGTCCCTTCAGTGTTGGGCTCACCCGATAGGTCAGGAGTGCAGGTGCTCTCAGGGACACTCTGCTCCACGATGACATGATTGTCTGGCTTGGCCACATTCCACACAAAGCTGGCTTCCCCCGAGTGACACTTGGCATTGTGTAGAGAAAGCCCCTCAGGAGTTTTTGCCAGAAAACTGCATTCAGTGCAGACAAAAGTTGGGTCCTTAGTAAAGTCCATGTGCTCTGAGTTCATGTGTCCCACAAACTGGGTTATGTCCTGGGATCTGAAATCACAGTATCTGCAGGAATACGAGTAGCCATCCAAAGTGCTCCGGTGCCCATTGGCCAGGGCGGCGCCGTCGGTACTGCTGGCCGTCTGGGCGACCTCGCTGCTGGTAGCCGGCACTTCAGGGGGCAGCTCCTGCGGGGGTCCTTCGGGCAGAGCTGCGGCGGGCTGGGCCTCCGCACCGGGTTCCTGCAGCACGACGGTCTTCACAGGGATCATGCACGGGGTGGTGGACTTCCTCTTGCTGGCCATGGTGACAATCACTCTGGATGACCAGTGGGTGAGAGCTTGTCCCGTCAAGGGCCTCACAGTGTAAGTCCCAGCTGCTCCATGCCGGCCAAAGAAACAGTTTCCAAAGGCAGTTTTTTCAGTTGTCTGCAGAAAGCAAGCTTTTCCTATTAAACCTAAAGAGGAAGGGGAAAAACAAATGATCATGATCTCTAAGGACTGTGTACTCTGATACCTAGATGCACCCCACTGCTTGCCTTCTCCCATCGGGTCCTTTTCTTGAGAAAGTTCACCAGCAACTTGAATGTGGAGCCCCCCAAACACCAACAAAACAGTACCCTGAAGAATGACCTGGGGATGTTCCAATACTATTTGACAGACTTAAGCCATGTGTTTTGTTTTGTATTTCCCTCTGTATTCTTGTATTAAGTAACTCAGATTCAAAAACCAAGCAACAACAATAACAACAAAATAATCCTCTTTTGGACCTCCAAATTAATTCTGACCATGTCAGAGTGAGAACAAAACATCCTAGTGTAATCCTTGTTTAAATGTTTGGGCCAACGAGGGCTTTTCTTTTCATAGCCTTCCCACATATAAGAACAAGACGCCGCCTCTGCCTCTCCCAAGTCAGGCCCAGAGGCCTAGTCAGCTGCGGTGTGTGAAGAGGGGAGTGGGGAGGCTGGCCGCCACAGAGGCTGGGTCCCCCGCTGTGGCCCTTCCCTGCCTGCTGCCCAGGCCACTGAAGGAGAATCATTCGCCTCAGGTACTGGCTACATCCCGGACCACATCTCGCAGGCAGAGCCCAAGGTCAGAGGGTCAGGGGATCCACAGACCCAGTCTGGCGTACAGCAAGCTGTACGTGCTTTCTCTGTGCGCAGCCACCCCAACCTGTGGCCTCCCCCTGGGTAGGCACTCTACATGTGACCTTGGGTTGTGGTGACCTTTTCATTTCCTTTAGTGCCTTTAAAAAAAAAATAACTTTAAAATATTTGATCCATTTGAAATGTATTTCAAATGCTGAAAATTTCGAATAATTACGATTCTTTTATGAGCTGCCATGAGGAAAGTGTGTCTGCGGCCCCTATTATTAACAGAATATCACCATAATCACCCTTACCTTTCTTTTAGCAAATTGTAATGCTAATAACGACTAAAATAGTAGTAATTCTAATTCCAAAATCACGTCATCATCAGTGTTTAGATATGAAAATGTGAAGAGAATGAAAATATTTCTATTCAAGTTCTTAAATACACACAGCCAACTATTTTTCTGTTTGCAAGCCTCACCCTGATGATCACAGCTTTGATAGATCATTCCTACCACAAAACCAGTTGGGGTGGGACAAGAATAAACACACCAGACCTCACCGCTTGTCACCTTTTGCCTCACTGATCTGAAATGTTAGACACACATTTTAAAAATATTTTTAATTGCAAAGATAAAATATCAGTATTAGATGAAATGGAAGAAAATAAAACCACCTATAATTTTGTATACCCTTCCTCCTAGTCCAGGTATCTTATACATATTTTTGTCATACTGGACACATGCTTGTGTTTTGTTTTTTTTATTGAAGATTCCAGCACAAACATGTTCATTAAATAAGATTTTAATGATAACATTCGATAGCTGCTTCATAATGTCGCACTAGGAATATAATCAGTCACCCTCCTCTGCTCCTGAACAGGCTTCCAGGGTCCCACTCTCACAGTGAAATGACCTCTGGGCATTACAATACATGTATTGTATACAATAGCATGTATTTCCTCTATCAAATTATTTCCTGAGGCTAAATGCACCGAAATGGATTTACCAGCTCAATAAGTATCAATATTTATATGATCCTCTATATACTGTTGGCACACATTTTAAACCAAGTGCTTCACAATTCCAAGTCAGGAAAACTAAGAGTAATGCAGTTACATATTTAGTGAGCAAATCGGATTTTCACTGAGGACATCAAATAGAATACCTGAAGCTGTAAGTGATGTGAGAAAAAACAGGTGAGCTGGATGCCATCAAATTAAACATGGTTGTGCTTCAAAAAGCCACCACTATGGGGGATCTCTGGGTGGCTCAGTGGTTTAGTGCCTGCCTTCAGCCCAGGGCGTGATCCTGGAGTCCCGGGATCGAGTCCCGCATCAGGCTCCCTGCATGGAGCCTGCTTCTCTCTCTGCCTGTGTCTTTGCCTCTCTCTCTCTCCCTCTGTGTGTGTGTGTGTCTTTCATAAATAAATAAGATCTTTAAAAGAAAAAAAAAAGCCACCACTGAGAAAGTAAAAAAGACCACTCACAGAATGGGAGAGTTTATTTGCAAATCATGTATCTGATAAGGGGCTTATATCCAGAATATGTAAAGAAAGATTAAAACTCAACAATAAAAAGACAAATGACCCAATTAAAAAATAGGTAAAGGATTTAAAAAGACATTTCTCCAAAGATGATGTACAAATGGCTGAGAAGCATGTACAAAAGTGCTCAACATGATTAGTCCTTAGGGAAATGCAAACCCAAACCACAATGAGATAGCACTTCACACCCACCAGGACGGCATTCGTCACAATGACATATAACAATGACACGTATAGGCAAAGATGTGGTGAAATTAGACCCTTCATATGTTGCCGGGGAGACGTAAAGTGGTAACAGCCACTTTGTAAATCAGTTTGGCAGTTCTTCAAAAAGTTAAATATGCTATATAAGACCCAGTAATTCCAGTGGTAGGTATACACACAAAAGTAGTAAAAATATATTCATACAAACACCTGTACACAGGTACTTATGACATCATCAGAATAGCCAAAAGGTAGAAACAACCTCATTGTGCATCAACAGATGGATAGACACAAGCTAGTATGTCTATATAATGGATTATTCAGCCATAAAAAGGAATGAAGTACCCATTACATGCCACAACATAGATGGGAACACGTGCACTCCAAGTAGGCAGTCACAAATGCCACCGATAACATGACTGCATTCCCATGAGATGCCCAGAGAAGATAAATCCGCAGTGATGGAAAGTAGACTAGTGGTTGCCAAAGGCTGAGGGGAGAATGGGGAGTGACTGTTAATGGGTTGAGGTTTCTTTTGGGGTGATGACTGCAAAAAAAAAAACAAAAACTATGAATATGCTAAAAACCACTCCAAGGTCAAACCCAAGAGGGGCAGAGGACAGAGTGCTAAAGCACTCACTTCTGTACAAGAGGGGTATCATTCCCACTTCGGAGGTCCCTGCACAGGGGACGTCATTTCTCTGTGATACTGCCCAATCTACTCTGGTATGGTTTACTCCTGCCCTGGGAAGAGGTGAACGGCAGTGGTTGTGAACGTCAGGTTGGAGAGAAGAGAGCAAAGAGGACGCAGGCCTGTCAGCTAAAAGCAGCACCAACACAGAGAAGAGGCCATGTGTTCGCCTGGAGGTAGGCGGCCGGCGGAACTCAGGAGCAGGAGTGTGGGGTCCCTGACAGCACACAGACACCCAAGACACGGTGCCATCACTGAGGCGTGTGGTGGGGCTGGGCTTCACCTTGACTGGGCTTTACCGGGGAGGATGTAAATCACGTTCCTGGTATTTCACTTACAAAGATGGACTTGATTTGGGGAAGAATTCCCTGTCATTCAAAATTAGGTCTCAAAGTACCCCAAACTGTCCTTCAAGTCAATGATCATGGAGAATAGCACTCCTGATGATGCTCTGAGTGGGTCAGTCAGTGGTCAACGCGGAAGGCAGTAGCAAGAGAACAGTACTGGCGGTAGTGGCCACACTGCCCAAGTGTTGTGTTCGCTACTAGAGGAGGCTCTGCATACACATCTTCTCAGTTCACTCTCACAGCAAACTCGAAGCAGGAACTAATCATTCCCATTTTACAGGCAAGAAAGGCAAGGCTCAGAGAAGGAGAGTACCTGCCTGAAGTGTACTGCACAGGGACCCCGGCATTCTGGCTCCAGGGCCTGCAGCCTTAAGTACTCCACGCACTGAGCTCTCTGAGGAACCACAACACTGTTGGAATAAGGGCTGCAGGACTTTCCAAAGTGATCTTTTCCCCCCAATATTTATTAGAAAAATTTTCAAACACATGAAAAAGTTGAAAGAATTCTTCAGTGAACACCCAGGATGCTTACCATGAGGCTATACTTAGCAATGTTACCCATTTAGGTAAGTTTGGGTTTATCTGCCAGATACTTTTAAAAGGGTAGCCAATAAAAGGGGTACTTACAGGGTAAAGCCTAAATTATCTAGAAAACCATTCAACCAGAAGACATTCATGAACCAGCTCTGACAAAAGAGGTCTTAATTACCATGTGGAAACACAGTGTTTCCTAAATCAAGCCCTGAGTGACATAGGCTGATATAAATGCAAGGTTTTATGCTGCCAAAGATTCACAGAGAAGATCCAGATGACAACCGCATGTTTGTCATTCTTTATATAATCTTTTCTATAGTCTGTCTTGAAAATGTCATTATTTTTTTAATGAAGAAATAAGAACAAAAGCCTGTAACTTAAAAAAAAAAAAACCGTCTTTGGGAATTCAGAGTTACTCAATTCAAAGTTGCAGCTAATAGGGACGCCTGGGTGGCTCAGTGGTTGAGCGTCTGCCTTTGGCTCTGATCATCATCCCGGGGTCCTGGGATCGAGTGCCGTATCGGGTTCCCTGTAGGGAGCCTGCTTCTCCCTCTGCCTGTGTCTCTGCCTCTCTGTGTCTCATGAATAAATAAAATATTTTTAAAAGCTGCAGCTAATAATCACTATATTTCAACACCAAAAATATACAGGTGGAGCTTGAAAAAAATGAGTTTATTGATCAAATTCTTAAAGATTTTTTTTTTTTTTAATTCTGAGGAAGGAACTGGAAGGATAGTAAGCTCCACAGGAGGACTCAAATGTTTAGAAATGCGACTTTCAGCAGGTTCTCTCCAAGTCTGGCTGCAGCCCTCCTGAACAGCCCATGATTTATCAGTAAAAATAAGAATCATGGGAGCAGCTGACAGAGTTACAAAAACATAACCACAGTGAGAGATTGTAACATGCTGCTTGTGGTTTTGAAAGATCAAGGCGGCGGCGACAACACCGGGGGAAGAGAACGGGACTATGCCGCCAGGCTGGTTTGATGGATATGGGAACAGTCCGGTGTTCGACAGTAACCAACTTCATATTTGGGGGGTACAGTATGCTACATTGATAGTGCATGGTGAGGCAGGGCTCCCAAGGCCCTCCCCTTCTTCAGGCACCTGCAGAGGTTGGCGGTCTCAGTGGGGGGCCCACGGTTTCCTGGGTTACACTGAGGACCCGGCTGCCTCCTCCAACTAGCAGGGACACCCGCTCCTCCAGCTTCATAGTCTTTTAAAAAGTCATGAAATATATTTAGAAGTTGGTCATGTGATACACTAGACCACACATAAATCTCGACTCATTCCAAAACAAAACCATGCAGGTAGCATTCCCTTTTGTAAAAAAACTTGCTAGCAATATAGATTTACATTGAAATGCATCTTTTTTACTTCCTCTTTCAAATTATGGTCTTTATGTAGAAATTTCTCTCTCTTAGGAACAATGAAGAAAAGTGAAAATCCTCCCTATTCACCCCAAAGATAGCTAGAGTTAACAATCTAGGGTCCATTATTTCAAATATTTTTTCTAGGCACAGATTACTATAACCAATTTAAAAAACAAAAAATGGAGTTTTATTTTTACACTTCCCTTCTGCCCCTCATTTTCTTCCCGCGACAGTGGGAAGAGTGTCAAAATGAAATAGGTTTGCTGGATGGACATGCTACAGTTTCTCTTAGACAACGCTCTAATGTATGGATGCATCAGAATTTACTTCACCAATCTAGCTGTTAATAAACATTTCCCTTTCTCCAGTTTTTCAACTATTACAAGCAATGGCTCAATAATTATCCCTGTATATGTTTTTGTGCATTTGACAATTTCTGCAATTCTGAATTTCTTTCAAGAATATCTGACTAGGGGGCACCTGGGTGGCTCCGCTGGTAAAGTGTCCAACTCTTGCTCACAGTTCAGGTCTTGATGTCAGGGCTGTGAGTTCAGGCCCCATGCCCAGCACAGAGCCCACTTAAACAAAAAAAAAACAAGAATTTCTAAGGACTAAACTATTGTTAGTAAAATACAAAGTTGCCCTCCAAATAGATACTGAATTGTCACTCTCACCAGCACAGAATGAGAGTGCCCTCCTTATCACTGCATATTATTAGTTTCCAGTTTTTGCTAATTTAATTTGTCACTATTTTGCTAACAGTGACACAGAAAACTGGTCACTATTCTTTTAATTTGCATTTCTTTACAGGCATGGCTGAGAATCTCTTCACATATCACTGACATTTTGTGATTACTTTTTGTCCTGATACTAAAACTCATCATGCTCATCATAAGCACTCCCAATTCCCTTCACCAGTTTTCCCTACTGCTCCTACATACCACCCCTCCCCTCTGGCAACCATCACTTTGTTCTCTATAGTATCCATTTTTTTGTCTTTTTATTTTTCCTTTGTTCTTAAATTCCACCTATGAGTGAAATCATATGGTATTTGTCTTTCTCTGACTTATTTTGCTTAGCATCATAGAGAGTCCTCCATTTATTAAGGAAATTGGCTTATCTGTCACAGATGGAGCTGTGGTTTATATCAAGATTGTAAGGGTGTCTAAAATATTAGGAAATTTCTTTAAAAAATTAATTTCATTAATAATGGAGAAAAACCAAAATAGCATTTAGTAAGATTATACTCTAAATTTTTTGTGGTGAAAACCATGTAATATAAAATTTACCACCTTAACTACTTTTAAGTGTATAGTAAATTATATGCACTTTCTTGTGCAACCAATCTCCAGACCTCTCATCTTGCAAAACTGAAATTTTATACCCACTGAACAGCAATGGCCCCTTTACCCCCATCTCTAACTCCTGGCAACCGCCATTCTACTTTGTGCTTCTATGAGTCCAACAACTTTAGATACCTCATAAAAGTAGAAGCATGCAGTATTTGTCTTTTTGTGACTGGCTTATTTCACTTGCCATATGTCCTCAAAGTTCCTCCATATTATTGTATGTGACAGGATTTCCTTCCTTTTTAAGGCGGAATAACATTCCACTGTACGAATATACAATACTTTCTTTATTCATCTGTTGAAGAATATTTAGGTTGCTTCCATGTTTTGCCTATTTTGAATAATGCTGCCATGAACATAGATACAAATATCTCTTCAAGTCCATGCTTTTGTTGCTTTGGGATATTTACCCTGAGGTATGTTTGCTAGACATGCAGTAATTCTAGTTTCTATTTTCTGAGAAACTTTACTAATATTCTCCATAGCAGTTACACCATTTTACATTCCGATGTGAATTTCTCCACACCTTCACCAACACCGGTTATTTTCTGTTTGTTTGTTTGTTTGTTTATTTATTTATTTATGGTGGCCACTCTACCAGGTATGAGGTGTTATCTCATTTGGTTTGATTTGCATTTCCCTAATGATTAGTGATGCTCACATCTTTTCATATACTTGGCTATTTGCATAGCTTCTCTGGTGAAATGTCTATTCAAGTTTTTTTTTTTTCTATTCAAGTTTTTTATTCATTTTTCAATCAGGCTATTTGTTGTTGTGTTGTAGGGTTTCTTTATAGATGTTAATCCTTCTCAGATACATAGTGTTACATAGTCTGCAAATATTTCCTCCGATTCCGTCAGTGACCTTTTCATTCTGTTGATTGTTCCCTTTGAGGTGCAGAAGTTTTTAAGTTTGATGTAGTCCCATTTGTCTACTTTTGCTTTTGTTGCCTGTGCTTTTCATGTCATATCCAAGAAATCATTACCAAACCAACGTCATGAAGCTTTATCCCTTATGTTTTCTTCTTGAAGTTTTATAGTTTCAGCTTTTATGTTTAGGTCTTTAATCTATTTTGAATTATTTTTTGCATATGATTGAGTTAACAGTCCAGCTTCATTCTTTTACATATGGAGATCCAGTTTCTCCTGCATCATTTGCTGACGGGACTATCGTTTCTCCATTGTATAGCCTTGGCACACCTGTTGGAAATCACTGAACCATATATGCAAGAATTTACTTCTGGGCTCTCTATCCTGTGCCAGAGGTCTATGTTCATCTTCATGCCAGTACCATACTGTTTTGCTCACTGTAGCTTTGTAATATATTTTGAAATCAGGATGTGTTAGACCTCCCACTTTGCTTTCCTTTCTCAAGAACATTTTGGCTATTCAAGGTCCTTTGAAATTCCACATGAATTTTAGGATTTTTTTCCCCCTATTTCTGCAAAAAAAAAAAGATGCGATTAAGATTTTTAATAGAAGTTGCACTGAATCTGTATATGGCTTTGAGTAGTATGGGCATTTTAACAATATTAATTCTAATCCATGAACATGAGAGGTCTTCCTTTTTGTGTCTTCTTTAACCTCTTTATGCCTGTTTTGTCGTTTTTAGTGTAGAAGTCTTTTTTTTTTTTTTAAGATTTTATTTATTTATTCATGAGAGACACAGAGAGAGAGGCAGAGACACAGGCAGAGGGAGCAGGCTCCTTCCAGGGAGCCTGATAAGGGACTTGATCCCAAGACCCCGGGATGACAACCTGAGCCAAAGGCAGACACTCAACCACTGAGCCACCCAGGGGCCCCTACACTGATTTTCATATGTAGACCCATCCTTCCATTTCAGGAATAATCCCACCTGGTTATGGTACGTAATCCTTTTAATGTGCTATAGAATTTTATTTACTAGCATATTGTTGAGCACATTTATATCAATAGTCATCAGGGGTACAGTCAGTAGCTTTCATGTAGTGTCTTTGGTTTTAGTATCAGGGTAACAGTGACCTCATAAAATGAGTTTGGAAGTGTTCCCTTCTCTTCAATTTTCAGAAGAGTTTGAGAAAGTTTGGTCTTAGTCAACTTTTCAATGTTTGGCAGAAATCTCTAGTGAAGCTTTGTGGTCTTGAGCTTTTCTTTGTTGGGAGCTTTTCGATTACCAATTCAATCTCCTTACTAGTTATTAGTCTGACCAGATTTTTAATTTCTTCATGATTTAGTCCTGGTTGGTTTTACGTTTCTAAGAATGTATCCACTTTTTCTAGGTTATCTAATGTGTTGGCATGTCATTGTTCATAATAGTCTCCTATGATCTTTTTTATTTTTGTGGCATCAGCTGTAATGTCTTCTTTCTCATTTCTGATTTTTGTTATTGGATCTCCTCTCTCTTTTCTTAGTCTGGCTAAGGGTGTGCCAATTTTTTTTTTTTTAAGGATGTGTGAATTTTGTTGATCTTTTCAAAAAACCAACTCTGTTTCATTGAATTTTTTTCTGTTTTCTATTCTGTAGTTTTGCTTTAATCTTTATTATTCCCTTCTTCCTGCTAACTTTGTGTTTAGTTTGTTCTTCTTTTTCTAGTTCCTTGAGGTGTATAGTTAAACTGTCAATTTAAGATCTTCCTTTCTTTTAATGTAGGCATTTGCAACTATAACCCTCTTAGTACTGCTTTTGTTGCATTCATAAGTTTTGGTATGTTACATTTTTGTTTTTATTTATTTCAAGATATTTTCTAATTTCCCTTCTGATTTTACTGCTTGTTCAAGTGTTCAAGAGTATGTTGTTTAGTTCCCACATATTTACGGATTTTCCAATTATCTTTTTGTTATTGATTTGTTTCATTTCATTGTGTTTAGAAATGGCACTTGGTAAAATCTCAATCTTCTTAAGTTTGGTAAGACTCTATCCTAATATGTGATCTATCCCAAAGAATGTTCCAGGTATGCTTGAGAAGAAGGTGTATATTCTGTTGTTGAGTGTTTTGTGTATGTCTCTTAGGTCCAACTGGTCTACAGTATTGTTCAAGTCTAAACTCTCCTTCTTGAAAAGATTAGGCAAATGAAGGAAAATTGAAGGAAATGTCCTTAGATAAGGGATATTTACCAGAAACCACAACAAATGTTACAACTAAGAGTGAAACATTCAAGTCAGGAACTAGGTAAGAATTCTCATCACCATTAACATTGTAATGGAATCCTAGACAGTAAAGTATGATTTTTTTTTAATGTAAGGAACAGACAATTAAAAAGAGAAAGAGAGAGATGAGAAAAACATGTTATTTGCACATGAGGAGACTGCCTAGTGAGAAAATTTTCTGAAAAACTATTGTAAGAGGATAGGGTAAAAATAATGAGACACATTTGCAACAGATACATACACACACACACACACACACACACACACATCATTAAGTTTCCCATATGCTAAAAATAATCAATTAGAGAAGGAAATGGGGGGTTGGGTAGGGAGAAGAGCCCATTCGCATTAACAACCAAATCTGGAAAAGATCTCAGAATAAATCTTTATAAGACATGTGCAAAATCTAGAAAACAATAACTACAAAACTTTAGTAAGAACAAAAAAAGACCTAAATAAATGGAGTCAGAGCATATTCCTGAGGGCACAGATTCAGAATATTGTACATGTTAGTCCTGTCTAGATTACTCTCTAAATTCAGTGCAATTACAACCACAATCAAAATGCTACCAGGTAAAGCAAGTATTGTAAAATGTACAAAAATACACACACATGACTGCAAAGATATCCAGTCATTTGCTGCATTATTTCATAACACAAACAATGCCCATTAGTTGGGTGGTGATAAAACAAACAACAGAACTAGCACTAAGAAATGAAATGAAGCCATTTAAAAAGATTAAGACCTATGGGTACTGGTGCAAATACATTTCCAAGGATTTTTTTTTTAATTTATTTAAGAGAGAGAGAGCCTGAGGGCAAGCAGAAGGAGGGGCAAAGGGAGAGAGAGAAGCAGACTCCCCACTGAGCAAGGAGCCTGACATGGAGCTCAATGGGATTATGACCAGAGCCAAAGGCAGATGCTTAACTGACAGAGCTACCCAGGCGCCCCTCATGTGTTGCTTTAATTAAAAATTATCAATAAGAATTAAAATAAAAAAAATTAATAGTGCCAATGAGCAGTACACCCTGCAAATGAAGTGGCCAGCATACAGGGTGGCTGAGTTGCTCTCATTTAGAGCTGGGAAGTTCAGTGTGACATGAACCATCTTGTAGTGCACAGGACGGACGGGACAGACTGTTTTCAAATATTAGTTTCAATCGATTCATGGGTATGACCACTTCGTAGAACTCTTGATACCCTGAATTCCATAAAGGCGCAAATGGAGGCAGAATCTTGGAAATGCAGACTTTTGACACTTAAAAATACCCTACTTACAAGTATCCTAAACATCACACATTTGTGTGAAGTTGCACACAGTAGCTGAAAAAAGATCAATGAACCCTCCCCCCATCACACACCAGAAGTGTCAAAAACAAAACACCCAGCAGATTCTCACATAAATGCAGTCTGGGCTAAAAATGATAGAATGTGTGAATACCTTTCAGAATCACTGTTCAGCATGAGTCAAGTGATTCCAACCGTAGGGATCAGTGGCTGGTATTGTGAACCACTGCCATAAACTCCCAATTAAATCAATGGGTTCCATCTCCAGAGACTTCTGCAGTGTAAGATAATACCACACAGATGAGGATCACTTTGCACCAATGGCGCCACCGCTACACTGGAAAGAAAGGCTGAGAAATTTCCAGGATCAACTAAGAAACTGGATTTACTACAATTTTATCTCATAGCCTGCAAAGTGCTTTCATTTCTTTTGATCCATCCCCATAGCCTCCTCAGTTGGTTATTATTGCCCTTTCCTCCATCTTAGCATTGAGGATCTGTGAGCAAGAAAGGGGAGGTGACATGACCAATATCACACAGCAGATTTGTGGATAAGCCTATCTCAACTAGAAATCCTATGTTGTTTTTTAAGCCCCATTCACTCTGAATACCAACTGAATAATAAACCCACTACATTTAATTAGTTTTATGTTATTAATTATATTATTTTGAGCCTTCTTACAGAGGGCTCAAAGGGTTTCTGAGTTGATTTATTCCAGGGTCATTATTATTTTGTTTAAATTACAATGACTTGACAGGGCTACCATGATCCTTAAGATGTATAACATTCTACACTGTCAAAGAGAGGATGCATTATTTACTCTTATGTATAACTGGAGAGGGGCCAAGTGATTAGACCAAGTTAGTCTTCAGGAATCTATAACAAAAAGAACACAAGGAAACTGTCCATTCTCAGGAATGTGTGTGGGCAGGACCTTGGCAGGCCAGCAGATCTGCTGTCTACAATTGTCAGGTTTTGCTGAAACAAAGAAAAGAGTTACAAAGAATTCAAGTCCGTTTCTAAGCCTGAACCCTCAAGTATCAAAGCAACGCCAAGCCCAGAGCTGGCCTAGTTTTACTCTAAACGATGGTCACAATACTTTTTGCATTTAGTAATCACCCTTCAGCTGAAGGCTCGGGGCCAGAGCTCTATCCTTGTTTCCCCCCCTCAAACAATTCTTGTTTCTGTCAAGTCACCAACAGAAATAGACTGTTCCCGTCAGATGTTATCACCTCTTTGGTGAACACTAATTTATTCTTTCTCAAGCTCAGAAAGGTGATTACGATATAAATACAGAGTACTCAGAATTAAAGGGATTTTAGAGATGGCATATTTCAACCACTCATCTTTGCATGAATCATCTTGAAAATATCACTAACTGGTTAGGAAAGCCTATGCTTGAATACTTCCAGAGACACAAAGGTCAGCATCTATTACTGAGGTTGAAAAGACGTTGGGAAGGGTTCCTTGCAGTAAGCAAAGAGACAGAGAGACTTCTGGTAGGCTTCTCTCTCTAAATTTTTCACTCAAAAATAGCTTACTATAAATAAAATCAAAAGGTTTTATGTGCTAAGTACCATGTGCTAGATACTGGATATACAAAAATTTTTAGAAAGATGCCACCCCTGCTCACAAGAAGCTTTTTGCTGTGTCTCTAGGCTATGAGGCTATCTGCCAGTATCCCGAAGCCTGCTCTCCTTCTGGACACACTGGATTTCCCTGCTCACCTAAAGTCAGATATAACCAATGAAATGCAGGCAAGTGTGCCATTTCTAGGAGAACGCTTTAAGAGAAAGTTTCATGCTTTGCCTCGCTATCTGTGTCTGGCCCACAACTGGCAGTGTTCCAGACCGTGGCTACTCTGTTAGCATAAAGTGAGAACAAAAGCTGACCCACAATGTACACATAGTGTGAGCAAGAAATAACCTTTGCTGTTTTAAGCCACTATACGGTTTTTGGACTTGCTTGTGACTATGGCATAAACCATCCCATCCTGACTGATACACAGTATAAGGGAAGCTTGACAAACAATCAAGCAAAGTCAAACAGTAAGCCAAGCGTCATAGTGGAGGCATGTACAAGATTCAATGAGGGTGTAGGAAAAGCCATACCACCAATCTAAGTTATCTGGAGGACTTGCTGAGGACTCAGAGAAGAGGCAGCCTTTGAATTAGAAGTTAAAGGATGAGTAGATATCGTTGAGAAATGAGTGTTCCAGACAGGGAACACTCTGTGGAGCCATAAAGGGAAGTGAAAAAACATGGTACATTCAGAGGGCCACAAGAAGCTCAGTCTTGCTGGTGTACGGAGTCTGAGTGGGATGATTTACCATGAAACTGAGGAAGCTGATGCTCTGGGGACCGTCACTGGCATGGGCACCTTCAGTGGCCTACATCTATATTTTTTAAAATAAATGTATACTTACATTCTTTTTTTTTAAAAAAAAAAAGATTTTATTTATTCATGAGAAACAGAGAGAGAGGCAGAGACACAGGCAGAGAGAGAAGCAAAGCAGGCTCCATGCAAGGAGCCTGATGTGGGATTCGATCTCGGGACTCCGGGTCATGCCCTGAGCCAAAGGCAGACACTCAACTGCTGAGCAATCCAGGCATCCCTATACTTATATTCTTTATATTCATATATTCTTTATACTTATATTCTAGTTCAAGTTCCACAAAAGCTAGCTGTGGGGTTTGGATAGGGGAGAGGAAAATAAGGAAATGATTACAGGTCTATAGAGAAGATCTGTAGACCTACTAATCTTCCAGTGACACCTTTTCAACATTTGAAAAAATGAATCATATTCCCTAGCAGTCTTTTCCCCCCAAATCAGTCATCCTTGTTCCTGTATTTCGTGTCATAGGTTGGAATGTCTGCATCACCCCACTGCTTTTCTCCGAATACACTCTTGTTTTTCTATAACCTTCTTAGGAGTGACACCTGAATCTAAACTGAATCCACCAGATGTAGTCTGAATATATTTGTCATTTTCCTTAATGGCATTTCTTGTCATACTTAGTCCTTCCATAAAAATTGTTACCCAAATGATGCTAGAGTATTTATACTGTGAGCTTCTTCAGAAAAAATATGGATCAGTGCTCTTGGATTTAATTCACATCATTACTACCAAAACACACTTGTTTTATTTTAAAGACTTTTTAATTTTTTTTCAATTTATTAATTTATGATAGTCACAGAGAGAGAGAGAGAGAGAGAGAGAGAGAGGCAGAGACACAGGCAGAGGGAGAAGCAGGCTCCATGCACCAGGAGCCCGATGTGGGATTCGATCCTGGGTCTCCAGGATCGCGCCCTGGGCCAAAGGCAGGCGCCAAACCACTGCGCCACCCAGGGATCCCCACTTGTTTGATTTAGTTTAGATTTGACAGGCTCTGAGGAAGAAGTTTGGTAAGGAAAAGAAAAATAGTTAATTCATTTAACAACTGTTTACCAAGCATTTGCCCCATGCCAGGCACTGTTCTAGATGCTACAATATACCATAAAGATTAAAAAAAAATAAATAAAATAAAACCATAAAATAAACATAAAAAATCTCTGCCTTCCTGGAGTTCACATTCTAGTTTGGGCAGTGGGGAGACAATAAACCAAATAAATAAATGAAATTGTGTGTTAAAAGAGTTGTATTAAGTGCAATGGAGAAAAATTAAGCAGGGACGGTGGGACGTGGATGAGGTCGCAATGTTAAACATGGTATTTGGATTGGTCTTCTCACCGAAAATGGGACATTGCAGCAGACTTGAAGGTGAGGAAGTGAGCCATCTGGATGTGTGGGGAGAGCGTTGTAGGCAGAGGCACATGCTGGCTCACGGACCTTAAAGTGGGAATGTGCCTGGCTGGTTCAAAGGACAGCAAGGCAGCCAGTACAGTTGGATGGGAGTAGTCAAGAAAGCAGGAGGAGATAACTCCAAGAGGTGAGGAGGCCCACTGCGCAGAACCCTGTGACGACCGAGTTTCTCTAAGATGGGCAGAGCCATGGGGAGAGCTTGGAACAGAGAGGGCTGACAGGCTCCAACGTGCTACGGGACGCCTCTGCTGGCTGTGTGGAGAACAGACTGCAGGAAGAAGTGGTCGAGCAGGAAACCTGTCAGGAGGTTATGCCAGCAATCCAGGCAAGAGAAGGCAGCAGTGTGGACCGGGATAGCACAGATGGAGGTGAAGAGAAGTGGCTGGATCCTAAATACATTTGGAAATTAGAGCTGACAAGATTTCCTAAAGGACTAGATGGAGCGTGTGGACACTCTGAGGTCTCTGACCTGAGAGACTGGAAGTATGGCATTGCCAGCAACCAAGATAGATTTGAACCTGCAAAAATCAAAAGCAAATCTGTGCTGCTAAGACTAGAAGGTCGCTTTCTAGGTGTAAAACTGGATGGAGCTGGTTTGGTCAGAAGTGTTTTAGAGAAGTAATGGGTCAGGCTGCTAATGAGCAGGGAGGCTGGGCAAGGCCAACGTTCCCAGTGAAAAGATTTTGCTCTGTGCCAAAAGCTGCTCAAACCTACAGAGAAACTGCAGAGAGGAGGGGAAAGGCGGAAAGATGACAGGCAGGGGTCAGGGGCTGGGGACAGGAGGGTGCTGGAAGCAAACCCAGGATACCCTGAGAGGCAACCAGTCAGAACCTGCACCGGGAAGTGTGGGACAGTTCCTTCCAAAGTTAGATGGTATGTTACCTGCATCCTAAATTGTGCTTCAAGAGTAGATTACTTTATTAAATTTAGAATGAAAGATTTTTAAAAAGCAACATAAATGGTTTGTTCTGGATGTGCTCTTACTTCTGAATTACATTTGTTTTGTTTTAATTGAATTTTTCCAGCATGGGCCAGAGAGTTTACAGGCTAAATAGCTTACAGGAGAGTGAGCTGGCTTGAACCTCTCAAGAACATTCATTCAAAAAAGAACTCTCTGGCTCTCCCCTGTGGATATGACGCTCCTCCCCCTCCTCCTTCTAGGCTCAGACTGCACTGATGACATTTGCCAGTGGCCTCACTACAAAGTCCAGCAAGATCTTACACTGGAGAAAGGATGCCGAGTTCACTCACAGTAAGAGAAATACTAATTAAAATCACTTAGCATCTCTTTCTTTCATTTACTTTAGAAAAGCTCAGAACGTTTAACAATATACTGTGTTGGCAAGGGTTTGAGGAAATAAAGTACACACACCGCTTGCATGAGTCAAAACCAGTAAAACCTCTACTGAGAACTATGTAACAACAGCTAATGAAACTAGAAATGCTCTTTTCCTTTGTTTCAGCAAGTCTG